AAAAATACAACAAATTTAGCTGTAGAAGAATAACTTGAAGTAGGCCAAGTAAATAAAATATAAGGAACGAGTAATGGAGACATTAAAATAGTTAAGCCTTTAACACATTTCCCAACAGAAAACATTTTGTTGCCTGTAGATTCTAATAAATTAGGCACATATAAACGATGTTGATCAACCAAACGATAAATCCTTGGACCAAACATTGCAGAAATTAAAAGTATCATATCCATCCAAACCTAAAAAGAGAAAAAATTAAAAATTAACTGAAAGCGTATTTAAATAATTATTTCAATTAAAGCTCTAGATGGGAGGAATTTCTTTGGATGCAGGAATTAATTAATAAGCTTATTTTATAAGAACGTTAAAGCCGGAGAAGCGCGAACGTAATCATCGATATTTCTCGCGCTGTAGCTTTTTATAAAGTGATTTAATTACACAATATAACTTGGGACTGAAACAGCGAGACTGAGGTGTTCTGTTTCGTTTTTTGAAAATTTTTGATTGGATTTTGGCATTCTGTCATTAAGACAAATTATCCTAAAAATATTGAAGCAAGTGAGGCAGACAAATTTTTATAATTCATTATTTTTGGGACACGCCCGTCTAGGGGACACGCCCGAATGTGCGCTAAACATTATTAAATCTTTTTTATTTTTAAAAGTGTTTATTTTGTTATTTTATTTTTTAAGGTTTTTTCTCCAAAAAATGTCTTCATTTAATTCTGATCCATATAAAATTCTTCAATTACAACCTGGATGTAATAATTTAATTCAAATAACCAAAGCTTACAAAATGATGGCTTTAAAATGGCATCCAGACAAAAATTTAAATCAAAAAGAATATGCCCACCAAATGTTTCTCAAAGTTAAACAAGCTTTTGAATTTCTCAAGGCTAAAAGGCTTCGTGATAATTACAACGAGAAAATGGTAAAATTGAAAAATTTTATTTTAAATAAAATTTTTATTCCGAAAAATGGGTATCATTACCTTATAATTAAGTTTTTGACATTTTGAATAAAATATCAAAATTAAAAATTGTCCACAAATTTTAACCGAAACTATGGGGATGTTATATAAAGTGGTTTTTTCTTTAATATTTCATTTTTTTAAATAATTTTCTTAAAGGTACTATTTAACAAACATTTATCTCTTAACAATTAAAAAATTGTCTTTAATATTCTAAATTTAAAAATTAATTTTCAGACACAAAGGCGAGCAGCATCGGCAGCACATTTTGCTCAACGACAAAAATTAAATAAAGAATATTCAAATTTTTATGAAGAACTTAATAAAGAACATCAAAAATTTAATAAAAAAAGAAATGAAATTTATGAACAACAAAGAAAGTTGTTTGAAATGTCACAAAAAATATTTAATGAATCAAATACTATTTTTAAACAACAAACCGAACTTTTCAATGCTTTTATGAAGGGAATGACCAAAAATAATTTGAATGAAATGGTTAATTTTTTTAAATAAAAATTAGAAGGTCTCTAGGGTATCCAAATTAGGGAGTTAGCAGGTCCGGGTTCGAAAAAAGTCAAAAATATTCTGAAAATTTCGGTTTTAGAACCAACATCAGTGAAGAGTTTGTTGGATATTTTCAGAGTTTTATTTGTAGAAGTACTTTGATGATAAGTTTAATAAGCTTTACTTTCATTTTCAAATGTCCGTCAGTCGGTTTAATTTTGAAGAAAGTTAAAGAAAATTCTAGAGGGCATTTTAAGAATTATTTTTGAATATTTTTTGCCCATAACTCACAAATTAGCCTTCTCTTTTTCTAAAGTTCTATTAGACATCTCAAATTTTTTTTATTTAGATTTGGGGATTAAGAACTCTCCAAATTTAAAAGAAAATTTTGAATTAAAAATTTTTTAATATTAAGAGAAGTGCATTAGATGCTCATTCACGTTGGTGGGAAGAATATAAAAAACAAAAGGCAAAAATGATGTAAATAAATATTTAAACAAAAGCTAATATTTTTGAAGTCAGGGAAGGATATTTTTTGTATTTTTTACTTTGAACATCATTAAAATAATTTTGCTGGGGCTTTCAACATTTTAAACTGCTTTGATTTTTTTGTTTTTATTTTACTTCAATTGTTTTATTTTTGACCGGCGCACCCTAAGTGGTGTAAATAAATAAATAAAAATAATTTTTTGAACCGATTATTTTATTTTTTAAGTATATGTAAAGATAAGAGATTTTTTTAAATACAAGTTAGGCAAAGAAAAGACAAAAAAATATATAAGTTAAGTATAAATAACACACAAAAATCACAAAATTAAAAAAGAAATTACCCAAAAATAAAAATTTAAAGATGAATAAATTCTTAAAAATGCAGATTAACATCCAAAAAGGTGTTTTTTGTTTTAGAAAATTATAAAAAATAATTAATTGGTAATAGCCAAAATTTTAGGGAAAGGTATTTTGTTCTTGTAAAAAGAAATTAAAAAAAGTAAACCCAAAAATAATTAAACCCCTCCCCCTAAAGAATATTTAAACCTTTAAGTAATTTTAGAAAATTTGAAAAAATTTCTTTAAGCCTTAGGAGAAGGTCCAGCAAGTTGACTGTAATGTTCTTCATTTTCTTCCTCTTCTTGGTTTTCTGGCCAATCTTTTCCAGCATCTCCAATATCCCCACGTTCCAATTGAAATTGGTCGTTTGTTGCTTCTTTCATTCTAAATTTAATTTAAATTTTTTCAATACCCCCAAAAAATTCATTTTCCTATTTAATAAAACCTACAAAGACATTTACTAAAAAAAAGTTTTGAAGCTTGAAATATCCACTTTCCCTTTAATTCCTTAGATTTAAAAATTATTTTGTCTAAAATGGATTAATAATCTCAATTCCTTTTTTTTAATATTTCCCAAAAGAAAGCAAATATAAAGAATTTAAAAGAAAAAATTACTGAAAATCAAGTCGATGTAAAAGTTCTTCAAGATTTTGAGTTGAAGTCTTTTTATTAGATTCTTCTGATTTAATTAAACCATTTTTTTGAACATTTTTCTTTTCATTTGCTCTAGGATCAAAATCATTCTAAAAAGATTAAATTTTTATTTTTAAAAAAATAATTTAAATAAAAAACATCAAAAACATCTTCTGGAGGAACAGAAGGAGGGACATTAACATGTTTTTGTTGTTGTTCAAATATTTGTTCCAATATTTTATTTGTGTCATTTTGTGAAGTACTTGATCTGCGAGGAGGAGGGGCTAAAGGCAGAGGTGGAGGTGATGAAAATGATTTTGAAGTAAATGAAGGTAAATAATTGTTCGGTTCTGTTGGGGGAATTGTTGGAAGAGAAATAAGTAAATCCTTTAAAATTAAAAAATAAATTTATTTATTAGAAAAAAGGCACTCAAAAATAGGAAAGCAAGAATTTATTAGAGAAAACAAATATTTATTCAGAAAATAATTTATTTGTTAATTTAACAGAAAAGAGTGATCCCTCTTAGTTAGAAAAGGGTAGTCAGTTCTAAGAAATTCCTTGTATATCCAAACAGAAAATCGACCATTTCTGTTCAAAAGTCACTCCTAATTTAAAAAAATCCAAACCTTATTATTACTCTGCTCGCAAGTACATCTTGCCATTTTTGCCTCTAATTGTTTATTACATTCTTCCAATTCAGAAACTCTTTTCCTCAATAAAAGAATTATTTGATTTTGATCTTCAAAGGAACGTGCTTTCTTTTTAGCATAACGCTTTTAAATTTAAAAAATTCTTTTTTCCTTTTAATTTTTATTCAAAAAAACCTCCAAAGTCAAATCAAAAGATTGACAAATTGTTTGTTCAATATTTTCAGCCATTTTATCACTCAAAAATACAAAACATTGAAGTTTATCTACATCATTTTTGGCAATATAAGTTAGCATTTTCTTCTAAAAATTAGTTAAAAAATTAAAAATTTGGAAATTTTATTTAAAATAAACAAAAATTGTTAAATAATAATTAAATATTATTTTAACTAGAAATCGGTAAAATCACATTTGCAGGATCCCGAATCAGGATTGGGTTTTAAAATTTCGAACAGGACAGTACCCTGCAGGATTTCGGATAGGATCCTGAAAAACCTGTGCAGGATCCTGTCCTGTACCGACTTCTAATTTTAACCCCTCAAATATAAGCTTTTTTGAATGTCAAAAATATAACAATTTAGCATAAAAATTAACAAAAAACAAGCTAATATATTTCTAAAATATTTTCCCCCGAACCTGTTTATCCTTTGCACAATAAGAAATTCTATTTATTGGATGCTTAAAATTAAAATAAAAACTTTTATAAAAATAATTTAATTAAAAACCTTAAATTGAATTCCTCTAGTTTTTAAATCAATTACATTTACTTCATTAACATTAATTTGAATTATAACCTTTTTTAAATATTATATAAAATTTTTTAAATCTTTTTTACTTTTCTCGATTTTGGAATTTGTCCAGTCTCATTTTGTTTAGTAAGTGCTTGTAATCGAAGTTTAGCAATAGCATCTTGGACAACAGCCGTTCCTTTTGAATTGCTAACATCAACGTGTCCAAGCATTTTAACTGTATATTCCACCCTCCCTTTTATTAATAAATCTAAGAAAATAAGAGAAAAAAAGGAATTAGGTATTTAATAAAAAACTAACCTGGTGGATGTATCCATGTATAAATTGGTTCAGTCTTATTTTCAGGTATAAATGAATTTTGATTAGAAAATCGAGAAGAACCAATTATGCTTGTTGCTTTGGATGAAACAGATCTTTTAATTGTTTTATAAACTTCCATCTAAAAAATTAAATAATATTAAAAAAAAATAATTTTCTACCAAAAATCCCTTTTATCGGTCAAATGTCCCAACGGACCAGATGTTCTCTAGACCAAATGTCCGTTTGACCAAATGTCTAGGTATTCATTTGTCGTTAAGCCTGTCAAATTGTAAATTTCCATTAAATCAATTTTTTGTAATTCAATTTTTCTTTTATCTTTTGTTAATTTTGATCATTTTTCAGGTTGAAGGGCTGTAGTTATTCTATTAAAAGTTGCAACAATGAGCAAAGACGATAAAACAATTGCTAAAATTGAAAAAAAGGTTATAAAATTTATTTATTAAAAAAAATTTTTTTTAAAGGAGGTTGAAGATATTTCCCATAATAGTCGAAAACGTACTCATTCAAACACTTCTGATGTTGTAGAAGCCAAAAAACGAAGTATTGTTGAATCTAATGCAAACACAATGAATTATAAATTTGATTTGGTAAGGCTGAAAATAAACTTTTAAATAAATTTATTTTTTTAGAATAAATCAAATCCATTCAATGGAAGACCTTATTCTCAACGATTTTTTGAATTTTTGAGAAAAAGGATGGCTTTGCCAGTTTGGGACTATAGAGAAAAGTTTCTTGAACTTCTCAACAAAAATCAGTGTTTGGTGCTTGTTGGGGAAACTGGAAGTGGAAAAACAACACAAATCCCTCAATGGTGTTTAGATTATGCAAGAGAGAAGGGGGTTATGATGGGCAAAAAATATATGGTTGCCTGTACACAACCGAGACGTGTGGCGGCAATGAGTGTTGCTAACCGTGTCGCTGATGAATTAGATGTTCAGGTATGTGTTTATTTTTTAAATTTTGATTTTTTATGAGAGATACTCCTTTTATTATTCTTATGGAGTCTTTTTTCCTCTGATTTCTTTCCTCTGACCATTTTCTTTTAACAGCTTGGTCAAGAAGTTGGATATTCTATCCGTTTTGAAGATTGTGTTAGTGACCGAACAATTCTCAAATATTGTACAGATGGTATGCTTTTGAGAGAGGCGATGAATAATCCTTTGCTTGAACAATATGAAGTAATTCTGCTTGATGAGGCTCACGAAAGGACGCTTGCCACGGACATTCTTATGGGTTTAATTAAGGTTTTTTGTATTACAAAGAAAATATATTCGATTTTGTATTTTAATTTTAGGAAATTACAAAGCAACGTAAAGATTTAAAAATTGTTGTTATGAGTGCTACTTTGGATGCTGGAAAATTTCAAAATTATTTTGACAATTGTCCTCTTCTTTCTGTTCCTGGAAGAACTTTTCCTGTTGAAATATTTGTATTTTAAATAATTTTATTCAAAAAAATTTTATTTTTTTAGTATACTCCTGAACCAGAAAGGGATTATTTAGAAGCAGCTGTACGAACTGTAATTCAAATTCATATTTGTGAAGAAGTTCAGGGAGATATTTTACTTTTTCTTACTGGACAGGAGGTTTGTGAAATTTGTTTAAAAGAATAAAAAAATAAAAATTTTTGTTTTGAGGAAATTGAAGATGCTTGTAAACGAATTAGAAAAGAAGTCCAAAATCTTGGTCCTGAAGCTGGTGATTTAGTTTGTATCCCTTTATATTCAACACTTCCTCCAAATATGCAACAACGAATTTTCGATCCTCCACCTCCGAATAGACCATCTGGAGGAATAAGTAAGTTTTTTTTGTTGAATTTTGACTCTCCTGTTATTTACTTTAGAGCTGATAACAGAAGAGCCTCTCTCATGTTATTCTATACCCTCTTTAATTTTTAAGGTCGTAAATGTGTTGTATCCACCAACATTGCTGAAACTTCTTTAACTATTGATGGTGTTGTTTTTGTAATTGATCCTGGTTTTTCTAAACAAAAAGTTTATAATCCAAGAATTCGTGTTGAGGTTTACAAAATTATGATTATTAAACTTAAGCAATTTTTAGAGCCTCCTAGTTTGTCCCATTTCTAAAGCTTCAGCAATGCAAAGGGCTGGAAGAGCTGGAAGAACAAAACCAGGAAAATGTTTTCGATTATATACAGAAAAAGCTTATAAAACTGATATGCAAGAACAAACTTATCCGGAGGTTTTTTTGTTTAAATTTTAAATAAAATTTTTAAAAAAGATTCTTCGTTCTAATTTGGCTTCTGTTGTTTTACAATTAAAAAAATTGGGAATAGATGATCTTGTACATTTTGATTTTATGGATCCGCCAGCGCCTGAAACGCTTATGAGGGCTCTAGAATTATTAAATTATTTGGTAGCGATTGATGGTAAATTTTTGATATTTTGTTGATTTTAATTTATTATGATCCTTCTAAACTGCCGCTATTTAATAAGGAGTATGAAATAGATTAAATGAGAAATATAAAAAAAATTTAAATTGGGGAGTTAACAATAACTTTTAAATGATAATTAAATTTTTGAAATTAAAGGGGCATAAGAACTGCAAATTTTAATTTGCGTATCCTAACTTTTCGGATCGAACATAAAATACTAGAAAACAGAAAAATCGGTTTAAGTTTGAGTTATCGATTCTTTTAACCGAAGATTTTTGTATAAGCCGACAACCCTTCATGTTAGAATTTAATGAATTTTTAAATTAATTTTTTTAAAGATAATGGTGAATTAACACAGCTTGGTTCATTAATGGCTGAATTCCCTTTGGATCCTCAAATGGCAAAAATGCTTATAGCTTCTACCGATTTAAATTGTTCTAATGAAATTTTGAGTATTACAGGTTCTATTTATTTTTTCAGAATTTTTCGTTTTAAAAATTTATTTTCAAAGCTATGCTTTCTGTTCCCCAATGTTTTGTTCGTCCAAATGAAATTAAAAAACAAGCAGATGAGGCTAAAGCAAGATTTGCACATATTGATGGAGATCATTTAACACTTCTTAATGTTTATCACGCATTTAAACAAAGTATATATATTTTAAATTATTTTTTTTGAATATTTTTCAGATCGAGATGATCCCCAATGGTGTTATCAAAACTTTATTAATTATCGTTCATTAAAAAATGCTGATGATGTGAGAACTCAACTTGCGAGAATTATGGATAAATTTAATTTAAAGGTATAAAAGGAGAATTAGGGGAAGAATTATACTTGAAGAATATTTTAAAAATTTTTTAAAAATATTATTTGCATTTACGTATAAGTTATTCAATCGGGAAATTAAGGATGGGAAGGAAAAGCAGACTAAAATTGTATCCCTTCTCTTTCCACGTTCATTCATAATTAAAAGTTAAATTTCAACTCTAAAAAAGCAATTTTTCATTTTTAGCGTGTTTCTGCTGATTTTAATTCAAGAGATTATTACATAAATATAAGAAAGGCTCTTGTTGCTGGATTCTTTATGCAGGTTTTTTTCTAATATTTTTCTTTGAAAATCTTTTTTTTAAAAGGTTGCCCATTTGGAGAGAAGTGGACATTATGTAACAATAAAGGATAATCAAATAGTTAATTTACATCCATCTTCGGTTCTTGATCATAAGCCAGAATGGGCTTTATATAATGAATTTGTACTTACAACCAAAAATTATATTCGAACTGTCACAGATGTTCGTCCAGAATGGCTGGTAAGAAAAGAAATATTTTTCTCAATAATTTTCCACAGTTTTCAAAATGTAATTTTAGATTCAAATTGCCCCTCAATATTATGATGTTAATTCATTCCCAGAAGGAAGTGATGCTAGAAGAAAATTAAATGCGATAATAGCTGCTTCTAGACAGTAAAGATACTACAAAAAAGCTTGTTCTTTTCTTTAATACTAGCGGAGTTGGTCGGCCTTCAGCCGCCCCACCCCGCTAGCAAAAACAAAACAAACCAAAAAACAAACTCCAAATCAACTTATCACAACCTCAAAATTGGCCCTAATCCAATCATAATCAAAAACCCGATTATCATGACATTGACCAGCATTAAAACATTTCCTGATTACCAATACATTTAACAAAGCAAAGCATCTAATAGGTGCAGCTGATAGGGTACACACAGGCGTCGTGTGACTCCGCTAGCATAACAAAACAATTCAACTCAAGATCCGATTCAAAAGCCTTTGGCCGGCCTTCTCGCTTACACATTTTTTCTCCTCAATTCTCCCTGCTTCACAATTCCCTCTGTTTAAATATTCCCCTGCTTCGCAATTCCCCTTGCCTCACAATACCGCCTGCTTTACAATTCACCTTGCCTCTCACAATATCGACTACTTCGCAATTCCACCTGTTTCAATATTCCGCCTGCATCACAATTCATCTTGTTTCAAAATTCCGCCTCCTTACCAATTCCTCTTGCCTCTCACAATACCGCTTGCTTCACAATTCCCCTTGTTCAATATTCCGCCTGCATCACAATTCATCTTGTTTCAAAATTCCGCCTCCTTACCAATTCCTCTTGCCTCTCACAATACCGCTTGCTTCACAATTCCCCTTGTTCAATATTCCGCCTGTTTCAATATTCCGCCTGCTTCACAATTCCCCTTGTTTCACAATTCCCCTTGTTCAATATTCCGCCTGTTTCAATATTCCGCCTGCTTCACAATTCCCCTTATTCAATATTCCGCCTGTTTCAATATTCCGCCTGCTTCACAATTTCCCTTATTCAATATTCCGCCTGTTTCAATATTCCGCCTGCTTCACAATTCCCCTTATTCAATATTCCGCCCGCTTCACAATTCCCCTTATAAATATTCCGCCTGCTTCACAATTCCCCTTATTCAATATTCCGCCTGTTTCAATATTCCGCCTACTTCACAATTCCCCTTTTTCAATATTCCGCCTGTTTCAATATTCCGCCTGCTTCACAATTCCCCTTGTTTCAATATTCCCCCTGCTTCACAACTCCCCCTGTTTCATAATTCCCCTTGTTCACTATTCCGCCTGCTTCACAATTTCCCTTATTCAATATTCCGCCTGTTTCAATATTCCGCCTGCTTCACAATTCCCCTTATTCAATATTCCGCCCGCTTCACAATTCCCCTTATAAATATTCCGCCTGCTTCACAATTCCCCTTATTCAATATTCCGCCTGCTTCAATATTCCGCCTGCTTCACAATTCCCCTTGTTTCACAATTCCCCTTGTTCAATATTCCGCCTGTTTCAATATTCCGCCTGCTTCACAATTCCCCTTATTCAATATTCCGCCTGTTTCAATATTCCGCCTGCTTCACAATTTCCCTTATTCAATATTCCGCCCGTTTCAATATTCCGCCTGCTTCACAATTCCCCTTATTCAATATTCCGCCCGCTTCACAATTCCCCTTATAAATATTCCGCCTGCTTCACAATTCCCCTTATTCAATATTCCGCCTGTTTCAATATTCCGCCTGCTTCACAATTCCCCTTTTTCAATATTCCGCCTGTTTCAATATTCCGCCTGCTTCACAATTCCCTTTGTTTCACAATTCCCCTTGTTCAATATTCCGCCTGTTTCAATATTCAGCCTGCTTCACAATTCCCCTTATTCAATATTCCGCCTGTTTCAATATTCCGCCTGCTTCACAATTCCCCTTGTTTCGATATTCCGCCTGCTTCACAACTACCCCTGCTTCACAATTCCCCCTGTTCAATATTCTGCCTGCATAAACGTTGCGCCTAGCACTTGACACATTAACGTTGCCGCCTAGCACTTGACAAATGAACGTTGACGCCTATCTCTTAAAAATGAACGTTGACGCCTGGCACTTCAAGTGACGTTGACAGCTAGCACTTGACAAATGAACGTTGACGTCTAGCACTTGACACATGAACGTTGACGCCTGGCACTTGACAAATGAACGTTGACGCCTGGCACTTCAAGTGACGTTGACGTCTAGCTCTTGACACATGAACGTTGACGCTTGACAATTGACAAATGAACGTTGACGCCTGGCACTTGACACATGAACGTTGACGTCTAGCACTTGACACATGAACGCTGACGTCTAGCACTTGACACATGAACGTTGACGTCTAGCACTTGACAAATGAACGTTGACGCCTGGCACTTCAAGTGACGTTGACGTCTAGCACTTGACACATGAACGTTGACGTCTAGCTCTTGACACATGAACGTTGACGTCTAGCTCTTGACACATGAACGTTGACGCCTAGCTCTTGACACATGAACGTTGACGTCTAGCTCTTGACACATGAACGTTGACGCCTGGCAATTGACAAATGAACGTTGACGCCTGGCACTTGACAAATGAACGTTGACGCCTGGCACTTCAAGTGACGTTGACGTCTAGCTCTTGACACATGAACGTTGACGCCTGGCAATTGACAAATGAACGTTGACGCCTGGCACTTGACACATGAACGTTGACGTCTAGCACTTGACACATGAACGCTGACGTCTAGCACTTGACACATAAACGTTGACGTCTAGCACTTGACAAATGAACGTTGACGCCTGGCACTTCAAGTGACGTTGACGCCTGGCACTTGACACATGAACGTTGACGTCTAGCACTTGACACATGAACGCTGACGTCTAGCACTTGACACATGAACGTTGACGTCTAGCACTTGACAAATGAACGTTGACGCCTAGCTCTTGACACATGAACGTTGACGCCTGGCAATTGACAAATGAACGTTGACGCCTGGCACTTGACAAATGAACGTTGACGCCTGGCACTTCAAGTGACGTTGACGTCTAGCTCTTGACACATGAACGTTGACGCCTGGCAATTGACAAATGAACGTTGACGCCTGGCACTTGACACATGAACGTTGACGTCTAGCACTTGACACATGAACGCTGACGTCTAGCACTTGACACATGAACGTTGACGTCTAGCACTTGACAAATGAACGTTGACGCCTGGCACTTCAAGTGACGTTGACGTCTAGAACTTGACACATGAACGTTGACGTCTAGCTCTTGACACATGAACGTTGACGTCTAGCTCTTGACACATGAACGTTGACGCCTGGCAATTGACAAATGAACGTTGACGCCTGGCACTTGACACATGAACGTTGACGTCTAGCACTTGACAAATGAACGTTGACGCCTAGCACTTGACAAATGAACGTTGACGTCTAGCTCAAGAAGACACAGGACTCCAGCAAAAGTTGACGTAGAAGAGCACAGCAATGTTGAGAAGTTGAAGACTGACCAAAATACCCTGCTTTTATACCATTTTCTTACCCTTACAACCTAATTCGACTGGCAACGCTTTACTATAAAAGCCCCCATTTCCTCACTCCCCCAATCATTTTACTATAAAAGCCCACTTGTCTATAAAAGGACAAACAGACAAACAAACGGACAAACTCTTCTCAATTATATAATAAGATTTTTTTACAATTCTGCGCCCGTTTTATAATATTGTATTTAAAATAAATCAGCATTAAAACAATCGAGTGTCACAGCGGGGTGATGTAAACGAAAGGAGCGCTAATTTTCCGCTCACCAAAAATAAATTGAAGACATGTATATAAAGGGCGTAGTTTAAAAAATGGGGGAGATTTTAATAGGGGGTTTTTAAAAGATAAAAAGGAATTTTTTTGGAAACATTCTCGTCGGCCATAGCACCACAAAATCCTTCTCCCCCCACACTACGCCCCTTAATTATTAAAGAAACATTAAAATTAAGAAAAATCAATTTTGTGTGTTCCATAGCAAAGGCGCACCAAGAAAAAAAATTTGGAAGAAAATTGGGGGGTTTTAGATTTTTTTAGAAAAAAATGGGTTTTTAGAGAAAATGAAAGATGGCTTTTTATATATTAAATGAATTTTTGGGCAATTTAAAAATTATATAGAAATTCTCTTGGATTTTCTTGCGCCCATTCTATGAATACGTCAGACAAAAAATAAGTCGCTTGGCTATTAGAGAGAGAGAGAAAAAATAATAAAAAATAGTTATTATATATCCCTCTTTTAAAACTTCTCATTTATTTCCGTCATCGTCACTTATTGCTGCCGGCAGTGGTGTTTCCGTTCCAGATTGGGGACTAGATTCGTGTAGAGGCCAATAAAGTGGATTAATACGAGGACGAATCTTGAAAAAAAAATAATTTAAAAAAGGATTGAAAATAAATTAAATAACAAAAGGATGGCTATCTACCCCCGAATCTTTTAATCCTACACAAAACAGTACACCAGATTACTGTTGAAATTCTCCACTATTAAAACCCTCATCTGAATTTACCCCCAATCTCAATATTTATGTCCTCTATTTATAATTAAATTCACCCCCAAAATTTCTTACTTTAAGCTCATCAGCACTAAATTCAATCCCTTCACTTCCACGAAGACAGCTCAAAATAAATGACACATCATCAGTGAGTGAACGAATACGCGGAAAACTAGCAATTAGACTAAGTGGCAAAAAGCCTTCAGCATCCATCTTTCTTCGTAAAAAGAAGTCTTTTTGTAGATTATCAGCTGAGAAATAATATTCACTGAAAAAAAATAAATTTAATTAGAAATATTAAATAAAAATTACATTTGTCCGCGTACAAGCTCTCCAAGTTTAAATTCTTCTAATGCTGGCACATAAGGCGTTGTTATTGGCGCCATAAAAATTGTATTTTGAGGAAATTGTGTTGCAATAATTGTCGGAGTAAATTGTGTAGTTGCTGTTGTAGGCACTTGATCCGTTGTAGCAACAACCACAGCAGCAGTTTGAAGAGTATTAGCAACAACAAGAGGAAATGGGATGAGTCCATTAGGTGAAAGAAGCGAAGTAGAAGGCGCAGAAGGCACAGCAGTGGCTGAAACAACGGTCGGTGAGATACCCTTTTTTAAATGAAAAATATTAATTTGATGAATAAGTTAATTTGATGAATTATCCTATTATATCTGATCATCTATTCCCAAAAAAGAAATTAGAAGGCGTAAGGAAATGTAACCCCTCACTTATATCTTTTCAACAATGCTTTTATTAACGTTGTATTGAATTAAAAAAAGGATGAGCGAGAAGTTACATTTACTTTACTCCCTACGGTCTTCATTCCTTCGCACACAGAATTAAAAGGGCATATGTAAGTAAAAAATTTCCTAAACGTGTTGGAAAGGCAGACAAAAATTCCCGTCCTGCCATTTACTTTTAACCCTCAATAAAGTTAATTTTCTCATAAATTATTTTCATTTAAATACCGAAATATTCAATTGCTGAAGAGATGAAGTTGTCCAATGATGATTAATACAATTATTATTGTTTGAGCAAAAATACGAATTTGAGAAAAGCTGTTCATCCATTCGTTTATTATTATTGTTATATTTATAAGCATTATTTGGACCAACATGACGAGGCCCTCCTCCACCGCCACCATGATGATGATGATGAGATTTTGATTGATATCCACCAACAGAACGATGTCCTCCTCCTTGCGAATTATTCTAAAAATTATTTTTTGATTAAAAAATAACAGAAAAAAAATAACCATTCCAGCCACATTATTTGTTTGCTCGGTCTGTGTTGACGCGGAATTTTTAAAAAATTTTTGCCTAAAAATAAAAAAAAATATTTCTAAAGTTATCTAAAATTTTTACAGCTCTAACTTGCAAAATTTTAAGGTAAAATAACAAAACTAAAAATTGTTATTGAGAACCCCCTTCCTCAATACTTTTATTAAAATAAAAACATTTAAAAACCTATTTGACGAATATCTTCCATGATTAGGCGAAAATTGTCGTTGTGGTCTATAAGTATTATTATTCGATTGTTGTCTTTTGTCTTTGGAGTTTTTCTTCCAACCCTGTGATCCAGAATGTTGGTAGTAATATCCATTTGAAATATCATCAAAATACCTAAAAATTATATAAAATTATTTTAATAAAAATCTTTATTTCCTCCACTCATTTTTTGAATTTTTTTTTGCAAATTGAAGTAAAATAATTTTTTTCAAAAAATAATGTTTTCTAGTAAGGACATTTTCTTTAAAAAAATTTCCATAAAAGTATCATTTAATAAAATGACTAATATTTTGATAATATGGTGACACAAATATTTTAAAAAATGTAAGGGCCTAAAAATATATTAAATTGGTATCCTGACAAAAAATATCATTGAACCTTAAAAATTAGGTAAATGTAAAAATAAAAAAATATTTTAAAGATTTTCTATTTAGAGATTGAAAAAATCTTTTACTTTCCGATAGGGAGGGAACTGAAGCCTGAATGGTAAGCTAATCTTATCCAAGAAGACAGAACAAAATATAAGAGGGAGATCGAAAAATGACAAATCAACCCATGTTTGTCAATCCAAAAAATTAAATTAAAAAGAAAATACCAATAAGACTGATCCTGAGATTGCTCATTATTATTGTTATTTTGAGCAGCATTATTCGTTGGTGGACTTTTCTGAACATCTTCTCTATTATTCTTTTCTTCATTTTTTCCTCCTCCTCCTCCACCCTCAACAACAACAACAACATTTTCATTGCCTTCTTTAGATATTTGTCGACGATGATGATTATTATTATAATTATTATTAAATTTGTTGTCTTTAAAAGCTCTATTATTTTGTCTAAAACCAAAATTTGTTGTTGTTCGAACAGATTCAGAGCAATTATTATTATTTTCTCTTCCAACATCTCCTCCCCTTCCATCTCCTCTTCCACTTCCACCACCACCCCCAACAAAATTTCCTCCTCCTCCACCACCACTTCCTCCTCTTCCTTCTTTCAAATCACGTCCACAAACTGTATTCCTTCGTTGAGGTCTTTCACGTCTTTCAAATTCCCTTCTCATTTCACGCCTTTTAGTTAAAACTTCACGAGCTGTATTATAATCTACTTCTATATCCAATTTTTTCCAACTATTTTTAGACACTTTTTTGCTTCCTCCAGCCGGACTATTAATTGTTGCTGATGGGGAAAGTGCAGAAACTTCTTCAGCCTAAATTTAATTATTTAAAAATAATTATATAAAAATGACTGTAGGACGTAAAAACATTTATGTAAAACTTAATTTTCTGGCTTAATCCCATGATGGAAGCAAACAAAATCTTGTCCGAATATAATGTTTGATTCCAATAAATTATCTTTATTAAAAAACGGTAATACTAATCCTGACAGACCCCATTTTTTCCTCCCCATGTTTTTCCCTATAAATCTTGAAGTATGGCCAGATTTTCCCCAATTGCCTTTCTATATTTGCCTATAATCTTACGAAAAAAACATGAGGATTAATTTTTGATATTTAACGTGTATGAGACTTGTGAGAAGACTGTTGTAAGAATCATTTTCTCAATTTAAAAAATGGAACAACTTAAGACAACTGGCATGGAAGAATGAAAAAGTCTGCCATTCAGTAGATATATAGAGAAAACTTGGGGAGGAAAAAATGGGGTCTGTCAGGTTCAATAATATACAAAAAAAAACCTTTCTAAAAGAAATTAATGGTTGTTAGATAAATCGAAAAATATCCCCTCATATGGATTAAAATGTTAACTTTCTAGCGAACAAGATTATATCCTACCCGAGTATCCCAAAATTAGAATATAACAAAACACAAACTATTCTTCCCCCCAAAAAATTAATAATTAAAAAAAAATACTTTGTTCACCGTCTCCTCGCCGGTCGTCTCCTGTGTTTTGTCCTTAAAATTATTTACGGCTTTTTTGACAGTTGACTTATTGCTCGGTTTATTTTCTTCACATTTCTGTTGTGCAACAACATTTAGAGAAGGCCAATCATCTGGTGATTTGACTTCATTTTCCGTAGCTGATTCTGACGAATTATTTGCTTCCTTTCCCAATAAAGGTTGTTGGTCTTCATTAGGAATATTACCACCAGATACAACCTTAGCAAAAGTGACCGACGAGTTGACTGGGTGTTTTTCGCTCATAAAATTGTTTTAAAGTTAAAAAATCCTTAAAAAGAGTATTTCCTGAAAAAAAATTGGATTAGAAATTAAAGTCAAGTCTCCCCAAAATCAATAACAAAATAGTGAGAAGTTATAAACACCACAAAAATATAAAATTTAAAAGCTTAAAGATTAAACGCAAACAAAAAAAAAATATAAATTTGAAATTTGCCCAAATAAAGGAAAAAAGATTTTTAAAAAAATCATGGACATGAAGTTTAATTTTCTTGAAAAAATTAGATAAAAAGAAGCTTAAAAATATTGCCTATGCAATGAAAAGTACAGGCCCACTTTGAATATCTAAACAGTATGTAGAATGTTATTTCATATGCTAATTTTTTGAGTAAATGAATTTAAGAATGAAAGCAAGAAAATTCAAAGTTTTTTACTCCTTTAAATAAACAACAATATCCCCCAAAAATACGAATCTTATCCAAGTAGTTATACATATTAAATCACATAATTTTACCCCTTCACTAAACTCCCAACAAATTCAATAATTTGTTTGTTATATGTAGTTGGAGAAGGGGGAAAATAGAGGAGTTAATCAAAATCTAATACTAAATTTTTAATAAAATAATAAGGAATTAAAAATCAGGAAGGAATGTTAATGTCTAATAGACAAATTCGAATTGAATTTTTGTCAAGTGACTGTTTGATTCTAAAATCAATTAAAGAATCGACGCTACAATAGATTAGTAATTCTTTTTTTTTGAAGAATGAAAAATTCTTAATGTTTATATAAAAGATCGTTTAAAAACCCATAAAACAAAATTTAGAAAAAATTGAAAAAAAACAGCCCATAAGAGGCGGCTGAATAAACGCAAGTCAAAACAAAGCGGCACGTTTAATCGCGGGATTAGATAGTTGTAAAACGCCAAAGATGTGTTCGCAGATATCCGTTTAGGGAAGCATAGAATTTAAAGTTAAGGAGAATCACACTAAAATAAAAATGTCGTTAAAAGATGCAAACGAGCCAAGAATTTCTTTGAATCTGCTTTTATGCTAAACAATAATTGTAAACATAATGCCAAACAAACAAAACAATTATTTATTAGTCATTCTAATCAATTAAAACAAAAGAAGAGTAGAAGTAACTTCCAGATACTATTAACTAATAATATTTGTACTTTTTATCATGGATTTTGAGGAAATTTAATAATCATTACACAATATATAACAAGGAATTCAGGGAAATTTTTAATTTTTTTACAAAAATTAAAAGATTTGAATTTTTGTTAAAATGTTGAGTCACTCAAAAATTTTTATTGACTCAACAATAACGACAAAAACATTCTTAAACTAATTTTTAAAAACAAAAAAATACTTTTTTAAACAAATTAAAAATAATTTAAAAGATCTTTTGTGAATCAAAAATTATGTAGGTCTTGACCTCCTGGGTTTTGAACCAGAAGGTCAATAAAAGAAACCAATTTTTGAATAAATTTTCCTTAAAGAAATTCAAAGAAAATAGCCAGCGAAATTTTTGATCTCAAGGCTGAAAGTCCAATTTTTTAGGGGGAAAGTAAATTTTTTTAAAGATCCTCAAAAATACACAATTTTGTCAGTCAATATTTAAAATCAAAATATTTCAAAGACTGGGCGCTTATTTAGCCCTTTTATAAAAGGAAGGAGGCGATCAACCATTGCGTGAATAACAAATTTACATCTAATTTCATTCTTCTTCATTACCTTTTTCAATTCCTTTATTCCTTTCCTCATAAATACTTTCTTCTTCTGAATCAGAGCTTTCTGAAGACGAAGAACAATTCTTTCCTCCTCCATCTTTTTTCTTAAAAATTATTTTTTTAAAAAATTTTCAAAAATTTTTTTACAATTTTTTTAGCCTTTTTACGCTCTTTTTGTCTTTGCCTTTTTTCCCTTTTCCTAGCAGTTTTTAATTCTTCAGCCTCTTTTCTTGCCATTTTTCTTTCTTCAAATTCTTTGTCCAAATCTTCTTTTAAAGCTTGTTTTTGAATATGTTCTAACCTTTCTTGTTCTCTTCTTTTATTATTTCGAAAAATATGAAATTCTGCACTCCCCGCCGCTGCTGAAGAACCAACAACATTTCGAACAAATTCTGGGGGAGGTTTGGGTTTTGGGTCATCTTTCCGTTGAGGAATTATTATTGGTTTGTCCTTTTTAAAAAGAAAATTAAAAAGAATGTTTTTAGAATTAATTACAATATTTTTTTCAAGTCTATTTAATCGAATCCGAATTAAATCGTAAGCATTTTTGGCTCGCCTGTAGAAAGAAAAAGAGAAAAATTAATTTAAGAATTTTTGTGTATTAATATTTACCTTTCCTCTTCAATTTCTTTGTTTTCTTCTCTCGGCATACTTGTTTAATCTAAAATTATTTAAAAATAGTAACACAAAAATAATAATAAAAAATTAAAAAATATTCGCGAATTAATGGATTTATTTCTTAAGAAAAAGAAAGGAAAAAAGAGTGTAGAAAATAAAGAGAGTAATTAGAGAAGAAAACAAAAATTAAAGAATTTACGCGCTAATTTAAAAATTTTGTAGAATTAATGACAGCTGTTTTTTTATTTTTTTTTTTATTTTTAAGATTGTTATGTAGATGATTAATTAACTTTATAAATAATTAATTAAAATAAATGTCTTTTACTCATTCTCCATCAAAACAAGATTATGTGACGGTTAGTTTTTTTTAATTTTTATTTAAAAAATAATTTTCTTTTTTAAAGATATTAGCTATTTATGATGACCCTCCACCATCATTTAAATCAACTAATGTCAACACAACAATTGTTTCCACATCATTACCTGAAGAAAAAACAAAAAAGCAGCTCAAACTTGAAATTGCTTCGAATCACAAAATTTCAAATGAACAGAGAAGCAGAAATGATAGAAGCCCTTTTATTGATGTAAAATCCTTGGATATGCCCCCTAGTAGTAATTTATTTTATTTTTAAATAATTTTTAAAATTTCTCTAATTTTTATTATTAGCTTGAATATTTTTTTTATTTTTCCCTTTAAATTATTTGTTTGCCCAGCTTTTTATTTTTTAAAATATTCCCATCATATTTAATTATTTTGTAGGTATTGGTCTTCAAGTACAACATTCTGAAACCAAATTTTCAAATTTATCAAAGCCACATTCTGAGAAAAATTTAAGAAAACACCAAAATGGAGAGGCAATGTCTGTACATTTTGCCCCAACACAGAAAAAAGGTTTGGGTTTTAATTTACTTTAAAAATGTAAAATCTACATAGATTTTTAGAGTATTTCCAAAATTAATTCTCTAATTAAAAATCAAAATTAATCCTTTTCAAATCCAAATTACCCTATTTTATGTCAGATCCCTTCAGCTTCTGATTAAATTATTTTTAATTGGGAATAGTTTCTTGAAAATGTTTTGCTGACAAAAGTTGTTTTATTTTTCTGTAATTTAAAAGATTTTTAAAATTATTTTTTTAATTAAAATCCCTCACCCAATTCAGATCCAGATAAATTATTCCAAGAAGAGAATTGGCGACAAAATAATTCTAGAAAATCGAGAATTGGGGATAACTTTTTGGATGCTAAAGAAAAAATAGATTTGGAACAGAACGAATTAAAGAAATGGTCTTCTTTTTTACAAGTTGATCCTTCAAATTATCGTTTTCAGGTTTTTTTGGGTTTAATTAAATTGATGATTTTTTATTTTTAGAAAATTGTTCTTTCACCAGAAACTAAAGATTTGTCAATGGGATTGGAGGTAATTTAGTAATTTATTTTTCCTACCTTTTTTCTACCAATTCTTTTTTGACTTTCTTAAAATAATTTTTACAAATTTAGATCTCTGCTGTCCCTAATCCCCAACGTCCAAGTCATTTATTGGCCGTTGAGGTTAGAAAAATTGAGCAAAGAGGAAGGATAGCTGAAGATGGTCAACTTCGAGTTTGTGACCAAATTGTTAATATTAATGGAACTCCTTGTGATCAGGTTGTTCTTTTTATTAAAAATTATTTTATAATCTGATACTTCTAAAAAGAATTTTTAAATTAATATCTCCTTTATAGACTTTTTATTGATTGTGAGAATATTTTTCTAAAACTTTTTTTGATAAAATTGAAACAATTTTGAGTGTGTTTTTTGGAATCATCTTTCGGCGGGAAATTTTTTTTATAAAATTAAACAAAACTTGATTACAATTAACTAAAATATTTCAATTAATTATGAGCCTTATTATTGATTAAATAATTTTGTAAGTATAAATCTACTCTTATCTTTTTAAAGATTTCTTTTGCCCGAGCACGTCTTCATCTTCGAGATCTTCAATCAATTCCAGAACCTTCACTTTCCTTCTTTCGCCGAATTAATTCAAAAAAATTAAATAATAATAGTCCACAACTTGAACAATTTAAATTAAAAAAAGGAGAAAATACTTCTTTAATTGGCTTTTGTAAAGAAATTAAATTAACTAAAGGTTTTTTAAAAAATTAATTTAAAATTGAAATTTAAAAAAATTTTAAGGGGAAGATGGTTTTGGATTTAGTTATGCTGGGAGATTAAATGCTTCTGAACAACATTTATATTATGTTAAAGGTTTAAGGAAGAATTTGGATTTGACTTTGGGTGACAGAATTTTACAGGTTTTTAATTTAATTTGTTTAAAAATGTTTATTTTCTATAACTATTTATTTAAAAACCAAATTTCAATTAAAATTTTTTTATTTTTTTTTCTAGATAAACGGAATCGATTTGTCCAATTTAACTCAATCCCAAGTAACTTCACTTTTAAAGAAAATTGCCATTGGAGAAACAATTAGTTTAATAATTAGTAGCCAAACAGAAGAAAAACAACAGCAACAGCAAAACGAAGAAAAAGAAAATTTAAAAGAAAAATTTTCAAAAAATCTTTTTGAAGAATTAAAACAACAATTAATTGGGGAAACATTTTTGGAAATTATTCAAATGTTAATTCCTTTAAATGAAACGCCCGGTGCTGGTTTAGGTATTTCTGTTAAGGCACAAAGGATGGGTTGTAATGATTTGGGGTTGTATGTTAGAAGTGTAAGTTTTTTTTTAAATTTTGATTTTTTCTGTTTAGAAAAAATAAAAGAGTAATTAAAAATATACTCGAAAATTCTTTTAGCTTTAACAAAAAAATTTTTTTAGCCTTTTCCCTTGTTGAAAATTTTCTGTTAGAAATAACAATCTAACATTGATATTCTTGTTTTAATTAAGTTACTAAACCTTAACTTGAATATGGAGTCCAATAAAAGATAAACTCCCTAAATTATCTCAAATAAATTTAAAAATGAAGGAAGTCTTAAATTATAATGAAAATTAAGAAATAAATAAATAATAAATATAGAATCTTTGTCAAGTCTAAAATTGTAAAAACAAAATTTGTTAAAATTAAAAAGTTTTCTTTTTAATGTTTTACACTGGGGTGCATAAGTAATGACTCATAATGTAAAAAATAATTAAATAATTTCTTTTTTTTCTATTTTAATAATAATTTTCTCTTAAAAAATTTTTCTCTTTAAAGATTTTACATGGATCAGCTGCTTACAAGGATGGAAGATTAAAAGTGAATGATCGTTTAATTGGAATTGAAGAAGTTAATTTATTAAATTATTCTTTAAATGGAGAAGCTTTGGATGCGTTTATGGGAACATTATCACAAATACCAACAAATAAAAGAACAGTTTTATTGTTTATTGCAAGAATTAAAGAAGAAGAAGAAAAAGTAGGAAATTTAAATGAAAAATTAAAACACCAACAACATCAAAGCCGTTGGGGAAGTGATTCTGAATTAAGCCAAAAAGAACAATTTGTGAGGGATTCTGTTACTAGAAGGTTTTTTAAATTTTATTTTAAATTTTTAATTTTTTTTAAAAAGATCGATTAGTGAAAAACGCCCTTTGGGTCAGCACAATGACCCTTCACATTTACGAACTTATCAAAGAATTTTGCATCAAAGACAAACTAGTGGTAAAATTTTTTTTAATTGTTTGAGAGGAAAATAAATTTAAATCATACATAAATTCCTGGATTAGTTTAAGTAAATATATTTTAGAAATATTTAAAAATTCAGAGAACATCCTTTCAATTTTTTCTAACATTTCAGAATTCCAAATTCTATTTTAAATTTAGCCCCAGCAGTCAGTTCAGTATTTCGTTCTCGTCGTTCACTGCATGAACCTTTAAATATTAGCAGCCCTGAAGAACCCCGATCTAGAAAAAGTCGTCCAAGAACAACTTTCTATGACGGTGATTGTTCTACTACAAAATATGGTGAACAAAAAAAAAAGAATTATTTTTAATCTTTTAATTTATTTTTTTAGAATCCCAAACCCTTCCATCACCAAAAAATCAATCAAAAATTGTTTGTCCAGGCAGTTATTCCCCGCAAAGAAAATTTCCTTCTTCAGCCCTTTCAAGTAGTAAATCACAGCCAGATTCTCTTTCTACTCCAAAACCTCAACAAAAAAATAATGAAAATGGAAAAAGGAGGGGATCCATTGGAAGTGGACTTTTTAAACTTTTTTCTAGAACTCATAGTTGTAAAGAAGATTCTTCAAATAAAAATAAGTAAGGAATTTTTCAAAAAAATAATTATTTTCTAACTAAAATTTTGTATCTATTATGACTTTATGGATCTAATTGGATTTTCCTCTTTCTGATATTTTATTATAGTGTTCCTATTTACTCAGAAATTTAGTTTAGATTTTAGTAAAATTAACCGAAAAATATTTTTTCTTTGAAAATTCAATTTCTTTTGGCCCTCCTCTTTGGTATTTTTCTAAATATATCTATTAGATTTAACAAGTTGAGATGAAAATTGTAAAGTCTTAAACAAATTTTTCCTTTTTAGACCTAAAACAACTCCCCATCAACAACAACAATATAGACAACAACAACCCCCACCACCCCCATACTTCCACTCTCCTACAACATCACCACCATATTCAGCATACGGATTTTGGCCTCAATGTTTTCCTCCTCCTCCAATTCCGCATAGCTTTAATCAGGTCGATATCTAATTTTTTAGCACTTTATTTTGCTTTTTGTTTATTTAAATGTCTGTCAAAAGCACTCTCTTTTAGTCTTTTGTCTTAAAATTTATTTTTGGCCGGTATTAAATATTTTTTATGATAAGAAAGCCTCGAAAGCACTCTTTTGGTCTATTAAAGCTAGGATATTTTCCTTTATTTGACTTCTATCATCTACAAAAAAAGTTTTCTTTCAGGATTTTTCCCCATAATTTTCTAAATTTAATACCGGCCCTGTTTGTTTCAGAATTGCACTAATCATCGTCCACGTTCTCCACTTCCTTCATCAATTGCTCCTCCCGGCATTTTACCTTGGACCCAATCTTTTCGGTATTTTATTTGTTTTTTTTTGTTCGTTTTTTCTTTTCTTTTTATTCTTTCATTTAGTTTTTTTAATTATTTAATTTTGTTTTAATTTCAAACAAAATAGATGTCCCCATCCTTCCTTCAACAGCCAATTACATGGGCATGGGCCCGTAGAAGTGCCCCATTGGCGACAAGGCGGAAACAATTTGCTGAGGCTTCAACAAATACATCCTCGCCGCCAAATGTTTCCATTGACTATTACAACTCGTAAATAATTTTATAAAAATTTATTTTAGGGAAACATAAACAGTATGTTATACTTTCACATTAGGAATATCTGACACTAGTAAAATAATTAAACCGATGAAAAAATTTATTTTTGTGTCCATACTTGCAGAAAAAATCGGGTTGGATGATTCGCGTGTGCTTCGGTTGTTTGGGCTCATCTATCGTGGTTCTATTCCTGATACTTTTTTCTGTTACCATTTTGTGTGATATTTTTTGAAATAAATTCTCTTAAATAATTTACTTTCCTAATTAATTTACCCGAACCAAAAAAATCCCTAACAAAAACTACAATTCCTTTTTCAGATTTAACACCTTCTTCTCAGCCCCACCACCAAATCAACCAAAATTATTCGGCAGGTTTTAGTAATTCTGCCAACAACAATTTACATCAATCTACTTACAACAATAATAAAAATAATATAAATTTAAATACTAAAAAGAAAATTGGAAAATCAAAACCTTCAGCTATTTTTTATGATGAATATAATAAAAATAATAATAATTGGGTGATACGTTGTTAATAAATAGAAGAATTAGAAGAGAGAAATAAAGTGCCTCTTTAAATATAACGAATATTTTTTTCATTTTGCATTCCAATATTTTTCCTTCCACTTATCTTATTTTTCTTGAATTTACTGCTTTCAACCAGCAGATCAAAAAACCTTTCCTTATAAGAACATTGTAAATTAGAGAAATATAAAAAGGGAAACACTAAATGGGGGAAAGTGTACATGTCTTGAGATTTTGAAAATAAAGTTTCTCACTTCTTCCGGAATTCCTTAAAGAAAAGTTTCAGAATTATTTTCAAAGGCACCTTAATTTATATAAAAAGATTTAAGGATCTGATCTTCTGGGTTGACCCTTCTCATTTCATTCACTTAATATTTGCTATTAAATAGTTATTCTATATTAAATATTTTGGTTGTGAATAAAAATCTTTGTAAGTAGATAAATTTGTTTTTATCCCCTTTTTTAGTTTTAAATCCTTCAAATTCTCTCCCCCTTTTTCCCTTTTTTCAATACTTTCGTGCAATTCGTCGTGTTATTTTCTTAAAAACAATTTTAAATGAATTTAATATTTATTATTTATCTATATTTTTCCACCCTTCAATTAATTGTTGTTGGGCAATTAGCTGCTATTTATTCGGATGTTCGTCGCTCGTCGGATTGTGCTTCTTGGTCCTCTTGGGGAAGTTGCATGTAAATGCTTTAATTCTCGAGGGAAGGTGACTGTTAGGGATTATTCTGTTAGGGAAATTACTTGTGTTGGAATAAGCCAAAGATTACACCATACTTTATCTTACCAAATTCTCATAAATTTTTTAAACAGATGGCCGGATCCAGGCAACAATGTAAAAATAAACTTCAAATTATTCTATCCTATATACATAATTAATTTTTAGTATTCATATTTAGAACAACTTAGTCCTCTTTGCCAGAGTCACTGGTTTTATCGTTTTATAGGTGGAAGATATGCTACAGCATTAAATTCATTTTTTGAGGTTATGGAAAAAATAATAAAAAAATATTTTTTTAGTATTTTCGAAGTCTCCTTTTGGATAATAACCCTTGTGGAATGTGTAGCTATCAACAAAGTTGTGGTTTTGGTGGAGAGAAAAAATGTCATTCAAGTCCTTTTCAGTTAAAAAAAATTTTCCTTAAAGAATTAACAAAAAATATTTTTTATTAAAGTGTTCAAGGAGGAAGGCCAGTAATTCCATTTTATGTGTCAGAACGTATTTGTGGTCGGAAAAGCCTAAAAGGGTATGATCAACATGAAAGTTGTCGTCTTGATTATAATAAATTAATTGGTTTTGGTGAAGAAGAATGCAGGTAAAGGGAAATAAAATTATCCAGAAATTAAATTCTAGGCTCTGGCCAACCAATAAGGTAGACTTAACATCTGTAGAACCAGGTTTTCGTGAACAAATACAAAACCTTCAATGGTACAACTGTTTGGCAACAACAGAGGCAAACGGAACAGAAAATGAATTGATAAATGTTTGCCGTTGCTGTTGTTTTCCTTTCCGTCCAAATCCACAGACATTTTTATGTGAACACGTTCCTGGGGCACCGGTTGCTCCAGAACAAGAGAAAGAGGAAGAATATTATTACTCTGCAACTGATTTTCATTAAATTATTTCGAATGAAAAATAAATTATGAATTTGAAGAATAATTTGGCACAGTTATAACTTAGGTTGAAAATCCTCAAGTCTAAGATAGGAATTAAAATTTTGATCCTTAGAAATGACGAGGACTCAATCAATTTGACTCATTATTACCTAATAAAGTAAACATGCTTAAAGTTTGAACTAAATTTAGAAAATAACATGAAAACATTCAAACCCAATTTATTTACAAACAAACAATATTTACATACAAACAATCACACAAGAAAATAGGGACAATAAGAATCACACAAGAAAACCGGGGGAAATTACAACTATGAGGGAGAAATGTTTTTCCTATTATTATCGCATTTTGGCGTCTCATCTTCCATCTACCGCTTACATGTTGTACTCGATTGGAAGGTTCTTGCGGCGAACCATACCGTCACCCTGGAACCATTCGCGGCGGAATTGCTTGGCTGCTCCTTCCGGGGTGTTGGTCCATTCGACGGTGACACGGTCGTTGTTGGTCGCTTCCGCAGCCGGATCGAAGGCGTCGCAAGAGATGGCGATGTTGATGGCCTCCTTCGGGTCGAGCACACCGTTGGGCGGGTCCATGTTCAGACGGCGAGGGTTGGTCGTCTTGAATGCGAAGCCGATACGATGCCCACCAGAGTTGATGATCTGTAAAAGTGAAAAGGAAAATATTTATTAGTGGTTAGATTAACAAAAAAGCTGGAAACTTTACCTTCATGTAGTAGGTGTGCTTGTCGTCGAACGGCGCGTTGAAGATGACCTTCACGGCAGGAAGAGTCGTGATGTCGCCAGGTGGAACAGATGCCATTGTTGAGAACGGTTTGTTGTTGTAGCTGGAATTGAAGTTGAAGAGAACTGGTTGATACCGACTGGCTTTCTATTGGCTCTTTTATACCTTTATGATCGAGAATAGAATCCTTAAGAGAGAGACTATAAAAACTCTAGTTATACGCCAGTTCTCCCAACCTGCTTTCTGTTCAACTACACAAACAACGACAACAAACCGTTCTCAACAATGGCGTCTGTTCCACCCGGCGATATCACGACTCTTCCTGCCGTGAAGGTCATCTTCAACGCGCCGTTCGATGACAAGCACACCTACTACATGAAGGTGAAGTTTCCAGCTTTTTTGTTAATCTAACCACTAATAAATATTTTCCTTTTCACTTTTACAGATCATCAACTCTGGTGGGCATCGCATCGGCTTCGCCTTCAAGACGACCAACCCTCGCCGTCTGAACATGGACCCGCCCAATGGTGTTCTCGACCCGAAGGAGGCCATCAACATCGCCATCTCTTGCGACGCCTTCGATCCGGCTGCGGAAGCGACCAACAACGACCGTGTCACCGTCGAATGGACCAACACCCCGGAAGGAGCAGCCAAGCAATTCCGCCGCGAGTGGTTCCAGGGTGACGGTATGGTTCGCCGCAAGAACCTTCCAATCGAGTACAACATGTAAGCGGTTGATGGAAGATGATGACGTCGAGATGTGTGATGATAATAGGAAAAAATCTCCCTTCATAATTGTATATCTATGTGTTATTTCCCCCTGTTTTCTTGTGTGATGCTTATTGTCCCTATTTTCCTGTGTGATGTTTTGTAAATATTGTTTGTTTGTAAATAAGAATAATTGTTGGAGTGATTGTTTTTATTCTCTAGGGAGCTTTGAAAAGGTTTATTTATTCCTTTTTTTCGAGTCCTTCAAATATTTACATATACCCATAAAAACAATTATAGAAACAAAAATAAATTTTACCCTCATTCATCATTTTTATTACTGTCCCCCTCTTCAGGCGGCAGTTGGACATGTTTTCTTATCCTTTTTCTTGTTATTTTGAATTGATCTTGGCTATTAGTAGGTGAAGATAATTTACGTTCAACACTCTCATCATAAGTCCCCTGTTCTTTTTCCTCTTGTTTTTCTTCACTTTCCTCGTTATCCTTCTTCTCCTCTTCGGTTTTATTGCTAGTATGCCATCTAAAAATAATTCAGAATTATTCCCAGAATTTTATTTTAATTTTGTTTTGATTAAATATTCAGAATCAGAAAAAATACATTCTGTTTCTAAAAAATACATTAAAATAACATAAACTTACCCAAACTTTTCCTTCATAAAATCGCTAGCAGGCTCTAAAAATCGAAGAGATTTTCTACGTCCAGTATTTACTCTCTTTGGTATTCCAGCACCCGTGCAATAAACCTTTTTAAATTTATTTAAAATTAAATTATTTTTTTGTAAATATTTTTACATTAGCAAAAACATTTGTTTCTGATTTTCCAGTTCTAAGAGTGTCCAAACGGCGAGCAATTCTTAAATAACTGTCATCTGTCTAGAAACAATTATTGTTTGTTTAGAAAAAATATTCCTTTAATTTACTTGAATAACCAAATCATGTTTTTCTGCTTTTTTCTCTTGATTTGTAGTTATTTCCCCAAGCATTTCCCCAATCTCATTTTCATCATCCCCCACAAGTACTTGAATACTTTCACTTCTTTCTAATTGCAATGATGGACCAAAAAGTGTTTCAATTGCATCACAAATGGTCATTGGATCAGTTTGCGATTCAAAGTGGTGGAGAATGGGTGGGGAATTTTGGGAACTAAATAAAAATATAATTATTGAGAGAAGGGCAGATTTGGGTCGGAATCCCGATTTCCGAAAAAATTTTTGATTTCCGAGTTCCGACTTTTGAGCCAGTTCCGATTTCTTGCTCTTCCGATTTCCGACACCTCTGACTGTTTAACGATTATATTTTAAAATAAAACACATTCCGGAAAGTATTAATTCTGTTTTCCGTAATATAAAATACAACAAAAATACAAATTTCTGATTTAAAATAAATTTCAGAATTTACCAAAAATATGTACATTTCTGATTTTCTCTTTTTTTATTTTAAAACAATTTAAATTACTACCTTCTATTTACCAGCCACCAAAAATCATTTTCCTCTTCTTCTTCACTATTATTATTTCCTTCTTTTCTTGTTTTTCTTCCAGTTTGTACTAATTTTGATTTTGTATTTACTATTTCATTCCCAATTCCTTTTTCTTCAAAAATAATTAATCCTTTAGTATCCAATCTTTGATTCTACAAAAAAAAATTTAAAAAAATATTTTTAATTAAAATATTTACATTAGTTCCAATTCTGTTTTGTGTTCCTTTTGAAATTGTTTTAATTTGTAAAGTATTTACACCTATTTCTTTTTGTATTATTTTCTTTTCTTCGTCTTTTAAATTTTCAAATATTTCCTCTGTTTGTGTAGATTTACAATATTGAGGCGGGGGAATAGGAGAAGAAATGGTAATACTTGAAGGGTCCATTGGAAGTGAAGTTGCATCAGAAACAGAATTGTCTGATTGGGAAGAGTCGGTTCTGTTAAAATTAGAGAAAATTGGTGGTAAATGGGTGTGTTTTGAAGGAAATAAAGAACAGAATAAATAATTCTGATTTTAAATAAAAGAAATTCTGAAAAATATTTAATTCTGATATTTTAAATTCTGAAAGGAAGTAACAGAATTTTTCCAGAATTATTAATTAGAAGAAAATTATTCAAAAACACCTACCTTTTTAACTGTCCACCTCCACCACCACCCCCAATATTTTTATTTTGTGATTTTAATTTTTGTTCATTTATTCTCCTTTCCTCCACCTCTTCTTCTTCGGTTATTTCAATTTCTTCTTCTTTTATTGTTGTTGGCCTAAATTCTGTTTGTATTCCCCTTGTATTTGTGGGGAGAAGAACACGTTCGTATTGCTCTGCCTTTTAATTATTATTTAATCAAAATTTAATCAAAATTTCTACCAAATTTTCCAATTTAACTGTTTGTTTTTCACTAACACAAAGAGGGGCTAATTCACGCATATACCAAGGCTCTTTAGCTAAAAGGTCTCCAAGTATTCTTTCACGTTCTTCTGGGTCAGTTGCTGCTTGTAGTGCTTTTTGATATTCTTTCTATTTTAAAAAAAAATTAATTTTAATTTATTTTGATGTTAGAAGAATCCGGAAAAGTTTTAGAAATTCTGATTTTTTACAGAAAACATACCTAACTAATTCTGATTTTTGTTCCTTTTCCGGAGAGTTTTAAATAATTTCTGATATTTTAATAAAACTTTCTTTTACCTGCATTCTGATAAGCATTCTGTATAGCCATTCTTCCATTTTTATTTGAATAACAGAAATAAGCATTGAAACAAATGAAAGACCAAAAATAACAAAAACAAACTTTAAAAAAATTAAATTAATTTTTTATTTAAAATTAATTTAAAACCATTAAAATAAGCATATGAGGGTGATCAGGCACAACATCCCCTTAATAATTTTTAATTAAATTTAAAAATATTTTCTTCTTTTACCAAGTCCAATAGTTAAACAAGAAATACAAATAAAATAAAAAGAAGTGAAGTAAGACCAACTTAAAATAATTATTTAATTTTAAATAATTTAAAAATTATTTTTAAACCGATTTTCCCAAGCTAGGAAAATAGCAGCAATAACACAAACATAACCGCCTACTAAACTTAAAGCCATCCAAACGGGAATTGTTCTGAAAAATAATTTTTTTAAAATTGAGAATTCTGATTTTCTGGAAGGTTTTAAATACACAATACCTGCTTTCAGTTGTATTAACTGGAAATTCATTTTCTTCTTTTTTAAAATCAACAACAGTCTTTTTACCTTCTTCAGCCTCTCTCCCTTCTTTTTGTTGTTTTTGTAAATTTATAGAATTTTCATTTAATATTTTTTGTTTTTTATGTTGATTTCTAACTTTTTGTCGATAACTTTAAAAAAATAAAAATAATTTATTTTAAATAAAAGTTTTCGGTTAAATAAATGGGAGGCGGTTTGCCTGGGTTTAGAATTTGTTTTTAAAAATTAATTTAAATAAAAATTAATTCCGTTCATCAGAATAACAATTTTGGTGGATATATTTATCGCCATAGACAATTAGGAGTAGCAAATAAACAATCATCATTTGAACGGATTCGAACCAAAGAGAGAAATTAAATATTTTGTTTTGGTAGTCAAAACACTTAACCACTACACTAAACAAAAACTTGGAAATAATTGAGAAAATATTTATTTAAAAGAGTTTTTCTTTTTCTTTTAAATTTCACCAAATAATTATTTCCCTTAAATATTTCCCTACTTTATCCATTTCTGACTTAACCATCTAGTCATTCTTCTACTTGTTTGATTTAACAAAGCCAAAACTAAAGGAATACCAACAATTGCATATAAAATTGAAAATGCTTGCCCTGCTGTAGTTCTAGGTGTTATATTCCCATAACCTATTGTTGTAAATACTGTTTGGACTTTAAAAACAAAAAATTAAAATTTATTTTTAGAAAATTTACCATAAAATAAAGCTCCCCAAAAATCCCAAGCTTCAAAAAAACATAAAATTATTATTTTAATTTCAAAACAAAAACCCTCACCCAAAGCTTCAGGTAATTTAATTTTAACTAATTCTCTCTCAAATTGTATCAAAACTTCTTTTTGATGATGCCTCTCTACTCTAGCTAATCTTCTAAGTGTTTGTTGCCTCAATCTCTCTAATTGATTCCATTCTTTTCGAATTAATAAACGTTCATTTTCTGCTTCTAAACAAAAGAAAAGAAGTGCACCGAGAAGAGCATAAAGTAATAATAACATCCAGGGACCGACATGCCGAAGTGGAGATTTTTGGTAAAATTTTTTAGCCTAAAAGAATTTTAGAAAATTTTAATATGAAAGAAAATTTAAAATGTCTGCAGTCTCTCATGTTTTATACACTCTACATATTATAATGTATTGGGTATAATCTAGGAAATTTCCGGAAAGGTGTATAACATTTTTCTTCATTGTAGGTTTTTCCGGATTATATGCAGACAAAAAGTGAGATAATTAAAAAAATAATAAAATTATTATAAAAAAATCATTTACTCGATTAAAACAACTGTTTGGACTGGACAAAGACAAAGCTTTTCGTGCTGAACGAACTGAGATTCCGCCTGGACTCAATGGAGGACTGGGTAAGGAGTCTCGATGTCCAAGAGGTGGATGATGGTGATGAAGGTGAACAAAAATAGAACGTGATCGGTTTGGCTGCCAAAAAAGAGAAAAAACAAATTTTTATTTTTAGTGGGAGTTGAGGACTTTAGTCGAAGTAAATAACAAATAAACTAAGAATTATTTCAATAAACTTTTCTAGGAATATTCCCTATAATGTTAATGGTAATAATTTTAGAAATTTGGCCAATTTAAAAATTTTCATTTTTAATTTAGATCACTTGAATAAATCCCTTATATTTGAGTGTAAAAATATACAAACCCGAATTCCAACAATACTACTAGCTACATTTTCATAATGACTTGTAGAACTACCTCTACCCTTTTTTGCTGCATTTCCTTCAGATAAAGCCCTAGCCGAGGAAGGTGATGAAGTAGGGGAAGGTATTGCTGAGGAACAACCTGAAGTGACAAAATCGGCATTAAACATTGCCATTTTGGAATTTTTTGTTTTATTTTTAATTTTGGTTGTTAATTCATTATCACTTTATTTTTATTTAGAAAAAAACTAAAATGTTAAAAAATTTATATACATAAATTTTGATTAATTGAACAAAAAATAACTTGACATGTTTAAAAATAGAAATATTATATCCCTAAATTTATTTCATACCTCGAGATCCACCTATGTAAAGGAGATAGTGACTGGGAATTATTTGGAAAAGAATTAGTCCTACTTTATTTTCTCAAATAATTAACCCCCTTTCGCTGAAGGGGTTAATTAATCGAGAAGAGTACATAATTAATTAAGTGGATATTATATATAATTATAAAGGAATCTATTTAAGATTAATTTTCATATTCAAAATTTAAAAATATTTAAATAAACATAATATTTTTAATAAAAAATGAACGTTGCAACAACCACTACATATATTAATTAATAATATTTTGGGGTAAAAAGGCAACGAAAAATCAAAGAAAATATAAAATCAACGTTTGTCTATTACTTAAAACTCTGGCAGCAAAATATAATGGTTATGTAGCGTTTTAAAAGAGAAAAGAGAAGTTCTTTAAGGGGGTCATCAGACGCAATAAATTGGTTGGCTTTAATGAGTTGAAATACTTTTATGATGACAGTTGGCGGCAAATCATGCCGACCCGGCTTACTTAAAACAGATTGAAAAAATGAAGGGAAAGAAAGGAAAAGACGTTAAATGTGATGACGATGATTGTTAAGAAAAGAATTAGTATTAGTAGATATATTGGAGGATAAAATGGGGGACTTTAGTCTATATATTTAGGCGTGGAGTTTGTTTGGAGTGCTGAATATAAAAATACGAGTTTTGAAACTAAAAAATGAACTCATAATCAAATTTATTTGGCAAAATAGGCTTTTTGGAAATTTATTACCAAAGCTATTAGTAGAGGAATTTGGCTGCTTACTTATTTTGATAAAATAATTGTCAAGAAGTTACTTAAGCTTGTCAAACTTGCTTCTTTTTCTATTTTTAAGAGCCTATATATATAATAGTAAAGCAGAGCTGATCCATTACACCACGCCGCCTACTGCACAGCGTTAGGAATTAATTAGCTATATGCTTTACAATATCTAAGCTAATGACGGACCTGCGAAACAAATTATGTGTTAATTGACAATTATACCTAACTATTTATTTCGAATGATAAAATAAAGCCCTTGTTTCTATTTTTATGACAAATTATTCAAAGGAATTTGATAAAAGAAAGGATCAAAGAAGATCATTTTAATTAAACGAACGCCAAAACGGCCAAAACCTAAAAAGAGTGAATATAAAATAAATAAAATTTGAGCTTCTTCGGGATTATTGGAAGAATATATAGTGAAAAATAATATATTTTTATTGGTATTAATAAATTTTAAATAGATTTTTCTTTTTATTTTATGATGAAATTAAAGACGAGAAATGTACAGGGTGCGCCATAAGTAACCGGACACTTGTTTTCTCTCATAACTTTATTAAAACACAATCAAATAAAATCGAAATACAATCAGATGATAGAGAATTAAATAAGGAACAATAATAATCAAGAAAATTCGAGATGCCCACCCTTGGCTTTGATACAGAGGCGAAGGCGCGAAGAAAAATTTTCACAAATAGCACGCACCTCCTTGAGTGTAATTAAGTCCCACCCTCGGGCGAGAAAGTGACGCAGAAACTCCAAACTTTTATGAGGCATAGCACAGGCCCTGGACGCCAAAATAGACCAAAAAGAATTATCCATCGGGTTTAGATTCGGGGAGTAGGACGGCCATTACTGAACGCTAATGAACCCAGGAAAATTGGCCTTGCACCAGTCCTGAACTTCTTTCGCCTTGTGTGCCGGAGCAGAGTTCTGTTGGAAAATCCAGACTCTGCGACCGAAATGGCTCTTGAACCGAGGCTTCAGAACACGCTAAAAAAATTCTCGCAAGTAATAGTCTTTGTTGACTTTTACACCAAAATCCACGAAAATAAGGGGTTTTTTGCCTGACGCACAAATACCGGCCCAAACCTTGACAGATTGGGGATGTTTGGAATGTGTGATAAGCTTATCTGAAAGAGGAGATTCTGTAGTCCTAATTCTATCATTTTGATGGTTGTGAACGGATTTTATTGTAAAAATTTTTTTGTCTGTTAAAAGAATGTCCGGACATGCGTGCCACTGTAGGAGCAGTTTGTATCTTGCAAGTCTAACTTTTTTGGTTTTTTTTGTTAGCAGTTGTGCTTTTTGGATTTTGTAGGGTTTTAACCCTAGTTTATTTTTAGCTATTCGTCTGACGGTCCTCTCACTTATTCCGGTGTCACGAGCCACTTTTCTTACGGAGGGTCGATAATTGAGGTGCACCCAGTTTTTGATCATTTTAATATTCTTGGAAGTGTTTACGGAACGAGGTCTTTTACTTTTTTGTAAGTTCTTAGTTGTGCCATGATTATCAAATTAATTTAAAAAAAATTTTCTCCCAAAAAATTTTCACCAGAATTTTTTGATTGTGTATTGTAAAGTGCTATATGGGGCATTCAAAAGAGATGAAATTTTGCGGACTGAATTTTTTTGTAAAAAAAGTGAGATTATAGAATCACGTTGACTTGCCATAATAGAGAATTGAATGAGCTAAAAAATAAGCCTAAAATCAATTAAAAATATTGACAACAAAAAAAGTTATAAGAAATTTAAAAGTGTCCGGTTACTTATGGCGCACCCTGTATTTTAAAATAATATTATACTTCAAAGGAAATTAAAACTTTGTGGTATTCAAAGAAAGAATTTTATGTAGAGATTATTTAAATAAAAATAAAATTTAATATTTTTTAAATTATTCCCCAAAAACAAAATTAAAAAAATAAAATTATTTAAAATTAAAATTATCCATTCTGTGAATTGTCCTTTTAAATAAAGTTTATTTAATTATTGAAATACAATTAAAATATAATAAAAAAATTTAAGGTAATGAATGTGAACGATTTTTAATCGATCTAGGTTTATTCAAAATTTGTTGTTTTCTATCATTAAAACAAAAATTATTTAAATTTTGGTGATTTGTTGCAATTATAATTCTTGTTGCCGAACATCCAGAACTTTTTCTTTTAATATTCAAAACTTTATTTTCTCCAAGTTTTAAGGCTAAACGTTTTCGAAAAGAGGCAGAAGAAAGACAAAGTAAAATACAATTTAGAGATTTACCTAAAATATTTAATTTTTTTAAATTTTCCGGAAAATTTTATTTTTAAATTATTTAGAGGAAAAGTTGCTGTGTTTTTCCGGAAAATGTTTCAAAATTATTTAAAATTGTATTTTCCGAAATCGGAACAGGACCATTGTGTGCCGGCCGTTTGTGTACCTGGCCATATTTTGGGAAATAATTGATAAATCAATCGAAAGCCCGTCGATTGATATATTAATTATTTAAATCAATCAAGAATCGAAAAAGTTATGGTCCAAAATATGGCAGGTACAAAACCGGCCTGAACACAATGATCCGAAATACATTTTTCGGAATCTTCCGGAATACATAAAATGTTCCGGAAACCTTTATTCAGAATTATTTATGTTGCAAAAATGTTTTTTCGGGAAAACTTTCAATTGGTGTTTTTCCGAAAAACTTTTCAGAATTAATTTTAGAATTAATTTAATTAATTAAACAAATTACCCAAAATAACTAAAAATCCAGTCAAAGAGCCAAGTAATGCCCAACCTTCCCAATAATTATTGTTTGTATTACTTCCAACAAGAGAAAGTCTGGCTAATAAAACTAAAGCAGAAGGGCCTTGTGTTAAAGTAAATGCTGAGACTATTGCTGCTATTGAAACAGTTAAACGTTGTTCTGCTGCTTGTTGATTGTTAACACATCTAGTATTTACAGGCCTTCTATTAATAGAATCTCCACAATTTTTAGTAACTGTTGTTTGAGAAAATGAACGTCTTTTAACAATATATAGTAAACCAGCATTTAATAAAAACATTAACAAAACTGGTAACTTTTAAAAGAAAAAGAAATTTCAGAATAAACTTTAAAAGTTTATTTAAATTTACCAAAACCACTAAAAGAGCATTTGCCGCTAAACTTAAACGAACATAAGCACGTAAAGGATGGGGTGTTTTGTTTGTATGATTTCCAGGCCAACTTTCTTGTAATATATCAAAACATTTCCCAACAACTTGACCTCCATTACATAACCATTTTAAAACACAATGATAACTATTTAGATAAATAATTTAATTTGTTTCAGTTTTTTGCTTATAATTTATTTAATTAAATATTTTTATTTTTAAAATTAAATTCTCTAAACATTTTAGAAATATTACAATAATTAAATTAAATTTAATTTAAATTAATTAATTTTTTACGAGAAATGGTTGTAAGAAGTAAGCAATCCACTAATAAAAACAATACAAAAGACTAAACGTCCAGTACTATTTCCGTGTCTATGCCTTCGAAGTGAGCGAATACCGAGTAAACGATCTGTGCTTATTGCAATAATTAACCTTTGGAAATTAAATTTATATAAAAAGTTTATCGGGGTTTTTTGATATTATTATGGAAATAACTTAATACTCACAGTTAGAGGAATTTAAAATTTACTCAAGAGAAATTACCTAAGGAGACTTTTTTTATTTATTCCTTTTTTATTAGAGAAAAAAAGAATTTTCTCAATCTCTCTCCCTCCCTCCCTCACAAAATTTTCAAAATAACCAACCAAATAGCAACAGCAGAACACCAATTAGCAAAACCAATTAAATGAACACGTAAAGACAAATAAAAAACTCTAAAATGTTTTTGTTGACCAAATTGGTCGAATTGGGCGAGTGAAGAAGGGAGGAGTAAAAAAAGGAAAATAATATCACAAATAGCCAAAGCTTGAAGTAAAGAATCTGCTCTGTTTTTTAATTAAAAATAAATTTAATTTTTAATTTTACCTTCGAAGAGACCATTTAGGCCCTAAAAGAACCAAAAGATTTAAACAATTACCCAAAACTCCCAATAAAAAAAGCCAAGGAAATATCCAAACAAAGAAAAAACTCTTTTTAAAAAATTACATTTTTTTAAATAAATATTTAAAAACTTCTATTGGAGATTCGTGTAATCGAAGAAGTTCGTAAGGTAAACAAATTTGATTATTCATTTAGTTAAAGAGGGATGGGTGTTGGTTGGTTGTTGTAATTAAAGAGGAAAAGTGGTTATTTTTTAATATAAGATATTCTTCAATCGGATATGTATATCGAAGAATTGAAAGATTAAATATTTATTTTATTGAATATAAATTGTTTTTAAAGGAAATTAATGAGAGATAAGTTCACTTAATTCAAATCAATCGAATTCCCATATGTCCTTCTGAGATTCGATGTCTACTGCCTAGTTGAATCAAACCCTCTACAAAGGTGTCCGGAATTCGAGAAAATCATTTTTCGGGATGTTTTGGATATATTTACTTGTTTATACTTTTTCAAAAACAAACAAACAAAAAATTTTTTTATTAAAAAAAAAAGTAATTTGTAATTCAAAAAAGGTTAAATTTGGATGTTAAAAAAAGAAAATAAAAGAAAATGTTTTGTTGTTGTGTCTTCTTGGGGGCAACAAAATCGGATTATTTTATTTATTTAGTAGTCAACCCGTTGGCCCAAAAACTTTTTTTTATTGAAAAGACTTTTTTCTTCAAAAAATATTCTTTAATATTATATTAGCCTTTAGCAGGTGGTAGAAAATTGAAAAAAGTGAGGGTGGATATTTGGAAGTTAAAAACAAAACTAAAAAATTTTTACGAAGATCAGCTGACACAAACGAAAATTAGAGAGAAAGGAAAAGTCTTTTTAGTGTGAAAAAAAGTTTATTTATTTATTAGTTTCTGACCATTAAAATAAAGTTTTATGTATGTCCATTACATGATAAATAACTTCAGAAGTTTTAAGGTAAAAAATAAAAAAATAGACTTTATTGTTGAGTTTTAATAATATAGGTTTTTGTCGACCCTAAATGAAAAGAGTGCCGGGACCATATTTTTCATTACCTTCTTTGATTGGCTTGAAATAGGGTCAATTTTCCTTCGTATTTGATGTCTGTTGAATGTTGCCGCAAAGAAATATGGTACAAAAAAGGAATAATTTTTTTCATTTTCTTGCTGTTTTTATTTTGATGTCACGAATTTTACAAATCGTGTCAGTTCAAAGGACGGACAGGCAAAACACGGTCCTACGAAAACTCGATCCGACCAAATGTCGGTCTCAGTCCAAATTCCCGTATTTGGAACAACTTCCTCGAACAAACATGCAACATCACTCGCGTCGAAAGCACTCCTTTGGACCGTGTTTTGATAAGAACGTGTTTTGTCTGGACAGAGTTTTTTAAATTTTAAAAAACAGAGAGATATCAGACAAATTATTTAAGGGGCATCTTGCCAAAAAATGCGTTGGATATCCCTAGGTATCTCCAACAAATGGCGAGCACGGCAGGATGTGCTCCCGCAATATATGTTGTCCAACTTTCTGGCATGTCACAATTTCGCAAATGGTCTAGCAGCAAAGGCGTTGGAACATCTGCAGCAGGACAATTAATAGAGAGGAGCCTGTTTATTATTAGAGAGGAGCCTGAAGAAGGGAATGTAAGAACTGTTCGTCAGCGTCGAGTTGTTTGTTTTTTGTTCAACACTCCTTTAAATTGAGTTTTATAACATAAAAATGGTTAAAATACTCTTTTTTAATATTTAACAAAAAGTAGTATAAAAGACTAGAAAAATTATTAGAATGTCATACTCTAATCATTTAACAAAACATCAATTATTCTACAAACAACAGCAAATCGGCAACAACAATGAGTGTTCAAGCAATTCCTCAAAGCAATGAAGAAAACGAAGATCTTTGTCATCAGCTCTTGACTGCACGAACTGTGAGTAGCGTCACTGTTGGCTCAGTAGAGAAAGAAGATGGTGATACGAAAGCAGAAGAACAACAAAAACTTCCAAAAGAAGTGTCTCCAACTTCGGAACAGTTTTTCACTCTTCAAAGCAAGCGATTTTCTCCATCTAATCATCCACATCAGCAAAATGCAGTGTAAGAAAAGAATATTAATTAGAGTTATTCTATTTTTCCTCCTTTTTTAGCAAACTTGAAGAACTGCTCTCAGAACTGCAACAGCTTGATTTGGCCGTTAGAGGAGGTGCTTTGTCTAGTGATTTGGCACATGTTCGAGCACTGGTAAATTTTACGTTTATTCCAAAAATTTATTTTTGATTCTTTAGTTGGTCCACGAGATCCACAAATTGCATTCATTGCTTCCGATCTATCTGAAGCGTCGTTATGCCTCTCAAATGCCTTCGACAATGAAACGGATTGTTTGCGTGCCGATAAACAAGAAAGCTTTCCAAGGGACTATTGGACAGACTACAGGCTCGATTCCTGATTTGGAGTCGACGATTGGAGTTCAAGTAGGGGTTTAGTAAAATTGATTTTTCTAATGATCAGATTTCAGTCAACAGACTGTCCACGAACGACTTCTAAATACTTTCTCCCTTTTCAGGCTCGCAAATGGTCTAGCAGCAATGGCGTTGGAACATCTTCAGGCAGGACTATTAACGACAAGTTTATTAGAGAGGAGCCTGAAGAAGGGAATGCAAGAACTGTTCGTCAGCGTCGAGTTGTGACCGAAAACGAAAAGGTTAAAGAAGCAGCAAAAACAGATTCTTCTGCTAGTGCTCGCTTTCGTGGTCGTTCTTTGAATCATCAACAACAGCAGCGTTTGCATCGACGTCTCTGTGCTTCAATTCCTTCACTTTTGGAAGGCACAAAAGTTAGCTACTACACTGACCACAGTTGTGGGTCTGCTTGTTCTCTAATGGCTGTTGGATGTGGTGGTGGTGGTAGTGGTGGATTCAACAATAAAGGCTATATGTATCCATATAGATGTGATTATGCTCAACATGTGGTGAAGTTTTAAATTTTATAAATTGAATTTTTAATTTTTAGCGCTTCGAAAACGACCAATATATTATGCAAGAGCGAATCTATTTGCCTGAAAATCCAAGTTTCAAAATTATTGGACGAATTCTCGGACCTCGTGGCAATTCTTTGCGTCAATTGGAAGCTGAGACTCGCTGTCGAATTGTGATTCGTGGGAAGGGTTCTGTTAAGGTGCCGAGAAAATCATTTCCTCGTTTATTAAAACTTTAAAAAATCATTTCAATTTTAGGATAAGAACAAGGAAAGGCGTTTGCGAGGGCTTCCTGGTTGGGAACATCTGAACGAGTCTTTGCATGTGATGATTACTGCACAACATCCGGATCAGTTTTCGTGTTCTCATTTGCTTCATTATGGTAATTTTAGAGAAATTTCTTTTGATTTCTTTTCAATTTTTGTAGCCGTTCATTGCATCAAAAATTTGTTGACGCCGCGATTCGATGCTTACAAACGTGAACAATTGTTGCAATTGGCTATAATAAATGGTACCTACCAACCTAGGCCTTGAATGAAAATGGAAAACAAGAAGGAAATAAATTGAGGAAATAAAAAATAAATAATGTAAATAAATAAATTAGTATTTCCTCTTTTTTCTCTAAATATTCTCAAAATACTCTCTAAATATTATATTTGTAAAAAATAATAATAATTCTTCAGTCGAATCTCGATATAAGGAACTTGAAGGGAATGGACAAAAAATACGGGTCACTATATCGAGTATCGACTGTATGCCTTGAATTTTCTTATTGGCTATATGTATTTTTTGTATGTATATATTTATATCGTTTGTATGCCTTAATTTATAGTCCAATATATAATGTAAATATTGATAAATAAATATAGAAATTTGGAAATTTTATTGTTAATTGATTCTCGATATACCAAGATGCGGCATGATGGAAGGCATGGTGTAAGAAACAGATTTCCCGCTATTCGCACCTGGAATGGCCATTGAGCCCGGGAAGAATCCCGGAACTCCCTATTTGACGTTTGAAGGTTAGGAATAATTAGACAATCCATTATTTGTAGCTCATTTAATGAGTAATGTAGTTGAATAAGCATTATTGAATCAAATCAAATTTATACGCAACAGCGCGACGATTTCAGACAATAATAATGTGATAAATAAATAAAATAAACGTAAACAAACAATTTCCTTAACATAATTTAAAAATTGCAAGTGTATTTTAAGGTGATTTGGGAGTGAGTCAATAAATTGGAATATACACTGCTCCACATAACTATAACCTCACCCTAAATTTTCGAATTTTTTAACTTCTACCGAATCAATCGGGCTGATTTTTATTTTTTATTAATAAAAGCAGTTAACAATTATATAAACCCGAGAAATCTAAAAAATTTCTGCTTAAAAAATTTTTATCCAATATTTCCAAAAAACACCCTCCACATAACTATAACCTCACCCGCAGAAATCATATTAGGAATGCTTGAAAAATTTTACAAAAATTTACGCAAACATTTCCATTGATAATAAGCGATTAGCAAAAAGAACGAAGTTTTTAAGTGCTTTTTTCATCGAGATCCAAAATCTCGAAAATCAACGGGAAATGCGGGGTACAGTACTTAAAAAATATTTTCACAAGTGTAGACTGTAGATAAAATTTTTATTATAGTCCATCTGAAAGCCCACAAAATTTGCTACAAAATGCACTAGGTCCTATCCAGGAGAAAAATTCTATCTTCGAGTAGACTTGTGTTAAATAAGATGATGAACGAATTCACCCAAATCACCCCATAAAATATGATTATTTCGAGTTTCTAAATTTAACCGATTGCTCCCCAGTGATAAAATTTTTCTCGATGATAGGACTAAGTGTTTTTTGTAGCAAATTTTGTGGGCTTTCAGATGGACTATAATAAAAAATTTTATCTACAGTCTACACTTGTAAAAATATTTTTTAAGTACTGTACCCCCCATTTCCCGTTGATTTTCGCGATTTTGGATCTCGATGAAAAAAGCACTTAAAGATTTCGTCTTTTTGTTTTCTACTTAATATCAAAGGAAAAGTTTTCGTGAATTTTTGCAAAATTTTTCGAGCATTCCTAATATGATTTCTGAAGGTGAGGTTATAGTTATGTGGAGGGTGTTTTTTGAAAAAATTGGATAAAAAATTTTCGAATAAAATTTTTTTCGATTTCTTGGGTTTATATGAATTGTTACCTGCTTTTATTAATAAAAAATAAAAATCAGCCTGATTGATTCGGTAGAAGTTAAGAAATTTGAAAATTTAGGGTGAGGTTATAGTTATGTGGAGCAGTGTATCAAAAGTGACTAGGAGTCGACTAAAGTGTTCGGGGTTGAGGAATAAAGTGTTCGGGGGTTGAGGAATAAATTTATATATCCGAGCAGTTCTAACGAAAAAGGAGTGGAATCTAGCTTTTGTATTAATGCTATAGTTATAATGTTTTGGAACCCCCTGGTATTGGCTTTACTGATAAAATATGAGTTATTGTTTTTGATTGTTATAGTCCCACAAACATGTTGATGAAATAAATTGAGATCGGCTAAAATAGCGGTTCTTGTTTAAAGTAATAAAGTAGTCATGATATTCAGGTAATTCGATTTTAGGATTAATACGTCTAAAAACCCAACGGAGGAAATCCTTTTGGACTTTTTCAATTGATTTAATATCTTTATCAAGATGTGGATTAAAGACAGACGAGGAGAACTCTAAAATAGGACGGACATAAATATTAAATAGGTTTGTAAAGATTTTTGGATTCCTACTTTTAATAGATTTGAAAATGGAATATGAGCATCTGATTGCTTTACGAGTGATTATATTGATATGCTTATCCCATTTGAGATCGAATTAAAGTATTAGTAATAAAGAATAATTCATAAATATTTATTTAAATAATAATAGTCTAATAATTTATTTTAATTAATAAATACAAGTAATTAAGTCAAGTTAAATACAAGTAATTAAGTCAAAGGGAATAATAATTATAAATGTTTACATTAATGGGGTTAATAAATGAAAAGAGATAAAAGGGAAAGTTTCTATTCACATGGAAAATGATCGTGAATAAGCGAATGAATAGCTAAGAAATTTGGACCTCGGGTCACCAAACTTCTCATTCAATTCTTTTATCAATTCCCCAAATTTCAGGTCTGACAATTTACGTGGCAATCAGGGCAATTTTAGAATATTCGGGGCCACTCAATTTCGAAATAAGCAATCTAGCTTGCTTTGATTTTTAAGGGACACGCCCAACTAGGCACTGGCCAACTAGGCGCGACCGTCTAGGCGCCGGCCAACTAGGCGCGAGGCCAACTAGGCGCCGGTCAACTAGGAAACCAGAATACGAACATTATCTCCTTCTTCACTGTCTACTAAAAGAAACTTCTCGAAAGCTCCAGGCTCTGATTCATAACGTCAGTATTTGTCCGGGATAGAGTTGTCGGTTTAACCAAATTCTTCGGTTAACCGAACCGACAAACCGAAACGAAACTTTTGGTTACCCGAACCGAAAATCTTTGGTTTTTCGGCTCGGTTCGGTTTGAAACCGACAACTCTAGTCCGGGATTATCAGAATCGATCTATTTTCAAGATTTGTAGAAGCATTTTGTTGAATATTTAGTTAAAAAGGTTCGCGCCTAGTTGGCCTCGCGCCTAGTCGGTCGCGCCTAGTTGGGCTGTACCGATTTTTATGCACACTTTATTTTATTTTTTTTCGTTTATTTGACTTCTAATTTTTTTTAAGAACAAACATTCGAGCATTTATGTACATAAAGTACCCATAAATACATATTAAAAAATTATTTTTAACCGTTTTTTATTGTATAAAACTCAATTTAAAGAAAAGTTTTAAACAAAAAATATTCAAATGTTTATTTTTACATTAAATACACAAAATAAACAAAAATATTTGACTAGAAAGTCTATTTTGAACGTTTAGATTTTGCCTGCGACTTTCCTGGATTTCTTGTTTTTGTTGCAGAATTTGGACGAGATTCTGATTTAATAATTGTTTCTAAAAAATTTTTCGGATTTTTCTTTGAATTTTAAATTACCTTCTTCCACGAGATCAATTTCTGGCACTACAGGCACAAACCAAAGTGATTTTCCGTTCTCCAAATCTGTAGAAAAATCCTCCAATTCCTCTTCATCTGATGACTGAAGGTAATCTGGTGCTTCTATTGTTGTTACATCCAATATTTCCATTTCTTCCTCTTCCTGGAAACAAAAAAAAAGTTAAACAATAACTCCTAAACACCCAAAAAATTCAATAAAACAACTAAAAAGATAAACATTACCCTTTTTCAATTTTAATAACTTTCACCTTTTTCTCATTTTCCATTCCATTATCACTAGCATCTTCATCAAAAGTGTCAAATTCCCCTTCTTTTTCAACATATTTTAAATTTTCTTCCAATTCTGTAAAATCAGGCGCAAAAGCACTCCAATTTTCAACATGTGCCTTTAAATTAAAATTTAACAAATTTTTTAAATTAAAAAAACCAACTTGTGTCCAAACAGTTACAGAACCTGTTCCAGCAGAAACAGAAATAATTACAGGTTTATTTGGATGCCATTGAACATCGGAAAGTAATTCACCTTTATGTCCGTGCAATATTTTAACTAAAGCCCCGGTGCTTCGCTCCCAAATATTTAATGAATGGCTTTTACTGCTTCCACCACAAATATAGTCCCCATCTCCAGAAGTACAAATACATTTCCAAAGAGTCTAAAAAATTATGAATAAACGTTTAAATGTTTAAATATGTTTAAATTAACTCAAAAGAGGTTAATCTTTTCGGTTCTACTTGACTTTATGAGTCCAATCGAACTTTATGAGTCCAAATAAAACTTTATGAGTCCAATCAAGATTTATGAGTCCAATCAAGATTTATGAGTCCAAACAGATTTTATAAATCCGACATGTCTTATTATTCTAAGTAAAAATTGTGGTTCTACTACAGTTTATGATTTCATTCACAGTTTATGAGTCCAATCAGATTTTTGTGAGCTACAGGGGTAGGTCGTCAGATCAAAGCTGTTGATGAAAAAAGGGATAGGTTTATGTTGCCGACCCAGAACCCAGCGACGTTGACTCCCGCGAGGCGCGTGCCGCAAAACCCCGCGCGAAGCGCGGGGTTTTGCACAAGCGTCTCGCCTATACTCCATAGGTCTAACAACAAAACCCTATTCATTTTTATTGTATTATTTAATAAATGCATTATTTAATAAAATCTAATAAAATGTGATTTGACTCATAAAGTTTTGTTTGGACTCATAAACTTTGATTGGACTCAGAAAGTTCGATTGGACTCATAAAATTCGATTGGACTCATAAAGTCAAGTAGAACCATCTTTTCTACTACAATAAGTATAAAAACTACCCAGTGACAAAATTTAAACTAACATTTAGCGATGAAAGAATAATAATTAAAATTTAAAAAACAGAATTAGAATTCCCGTTTTTAAGACGACCTTACAATTAGATTAAAGAATCCCCATAAATTGTTTGAATAATACAAAAAATATATTAAAATCAAAATTCCAAACCTTATTAACAATATCCTGAAAACGCTGTATTGGTTGAAGTGTACTTCCTTGCTTAATATTTAACAAATCCTGAAGTCGATAACAACGAATGACACGATCTTGTGAATTTGTTATAATATAATCATTACGTCTTGAAAATGAAAAGCTTTTAATCTAAATTTGAAAAAATAATAAAAATTTTAACAATAAAAGAACCTGCTGTTGATTCCCTTGTTGACGACAATGAATAATTGGTTTTAATGTAGTTGAATCATAGACAATTATCTGACCCTGTTAAAATAAATTTGGAGAAAATAGGCATGCATAATTATCATTGTTAATAGGGGCTTCTCAATGGCTGAAGAGGTAACAAAGCCAAAAATGAAAGAAAATGGGGAGAAAAGAATAAAGATTATAAAACTTTACATATCAACCGAGGCAATTGATTCTTATAAAATATTCCCCTTTTATGTGAGAGAATATCCTCTTGTATGAAAAGTAAAAACATGCCTTAGTGCTCCCTGTAATAATAAAATTTCCACGACGATCAAATATGGCAGTAGAAATGGGCTCATCTGCAGCCTCAGATTTGCTTCCAATTGGCGCAAGTCTTGTTTCCTGTCCAGTAAGTAAATTTTTAACAACTGGAGATGAACAAACACTCGAATTTAGAAGAATAAGATAAACGAGGATCTGATTTTCGTTTCTTAAATTTTTATTGTTATTAAACTAAAATTTAGAAAGAAAACCTTGGATTAAATAATGCATATTGAGTTGTTGATCCAACTCCAAAACTAAGTCGATGAAGAGGCTGTGTAGTATTCAAAACATCCCAAACAGACACAGAACCATCAACACTAGAAGAAAGTAAACGCTTGCCATTACGCGACCAAGATAATGAAATTATTGGTTTTACATGTCCATTCCATGCCTGTTATATTTAAATATGAAAAGAATAAAAATGTGTTTTAGCGGGAGCTGGAGAGCGGGTAAAAATTAAAGAGAACTTCTTGCTATTTTTTAAGTATCATTAAAGTAGATTATGTACCTAATTTGTTCAAAGCATCAGTGAAAATATTTTTCATTGGGTTTCTTAAATTTGTGGGATATTTTTCTAACATTAAAAATAATGTAACAATTTGGAAAAATTATGGATAACAACACCGCCAAGAAAAATAGGTGAAAGTGCCGTTTGTGTCCCCTTTTTTCTCCTTTTCCATCTCCTTAAAAAATAAAAGAGAAGGGAGCTATTCCGATATTTTATAGTATATATGATGCCAGATTTTATTCATTTCGAATCACAGACCCAAAATTCGAGCTCGAAGGGACGTGACAGTTTTTTAATTTCTAAATTTAATTTGGTCGAATTTTGGGTATGGGATTCGAAATAAATAAAATCTGGCCTCATCCTCGACTCAACATACTCGATCAACTACTGGCAAACCTCTAAAATATCGGAAAACTCTTCTTTCTTTTATTTTCTGGGGAGATGAAAATGAGAAAAAGGTACTTTTACCAAAAAATATTAACTTAATGTAAAAATAAAACCTTAACAACACCTTTTGTTACAAATTCATAAATAAAAATTCTTCCATCAGTACTTCCAACAGCAATTAAAGTTCCAAGCCTATTAAATTTACAAACAGTTGCAGCGGCCCCATTGCTGTCCAATGTACAATCTCTTTCTTCTGGATATGAATTTGAAAAATGTTTTTGAAATAGATCGAAGCCATTCATTATACAAATATTAAAATATGTTGATAAATCTTGAATGTTGATAAATCTGTTAAGAAAAATTTTGAATATATTAAAAAGAAATTCTAAAAAAATTAAATAAATAGAAAAAGGCCGAAAAACGGAAAACAAACAATTAACATTTTTTCCACTTTTGACGTCTTAAACAAAAAGATCCTTCTGACCCTTTTTAAACATTTTATTCTTCTGACCATTTCAAATAACGGGAGAGAAAAAGAGAAACAAAATAGTATATAAAATAAAAATAATTTTGGCACACTTAAATTTATTTTTTGGCATAACGATTTTGCAATTAAAGTGAGAATATTTGTCCCGCTGGAAAAAAATTTTTAATTTGTTAATTGTTATTTTTCTCAAAATTTTAGTTAAAAATATGAATTCCATTATTGGATATAATAAATTTCGATTTGTTGCGGCAGCGGGGCGGAATCTGATCAGCCGTGCTGCTTATTCTGGACTTGGAAGAGAAGAAATTATGTGGAATTGGCCTCCAGAGAGTTTGAAAATATTTTTAAATGAATTTCTTTCTTTTTGTTTTTTAGAGTTCGACAATCATTTTATTGATTATTTGAGTCGTCCAGAGATTGATGGGTGGGAAGTTCGTAAAGGTTTGGGTTTTTTGATAGACAATTACTGTTCGGGTATTGTGCTTATAGGGGTTTTTATTAGCTTGACCGATCTGGTCGATTGAGGTATCATTCGAAAGAGCACCGGTAATAGTTCGGTATCATTCGAAAGAGCTATCATTCGGTATCATTCGAAAGAGCTCCGGTAATAGTTCGGTTCGTACCCCCCCCCCTTTTCCTCCTAAAAGTATTAAAAAATGGTCAGTCAATCTTAGGTTATAGGACACGTCGAGCTGTGTCGAATGACACCAAAATCAACCCCAGATCTAACTTTGGGCCAAGATACACACAAAAACCTGCGCAAAGCGAAAGATTTTGCAAAAGCGTCTCGCCTACACAAATGGTTACTTTATGTCATAACTTTGTCAAATCTTGTTCAATTATGTTGATTTTGATGTCATTCGAATCATCTCGACAAGCTCTTTTGAAAGAGCTATTATTTGTTTAATTTATGTTTAATCGAATTTTTAGCCCAAAATATGAGCTTTGTCCAACCTGTTAGTTTTCAATTTTCTAGAGTCTGTATCTCGGTCCAAAATTAAAACCTGGGGTTGCTTTTGGTGTCATTCGACACAACTCGTTGAGTTCTATAACTTAAGAATGACTGACCATTTTTTAATACTTTTAGGAAGGAAAAAGGAGGGGGGTACGAACCGAACTATTACCACAGCTCCCACTAAAATAATAAAAAATTTTTTTTGGCGGTAAGGTCGGCTCGCGGTAAGGTGGGCGGCGGTAAAGTGGTTTGCTCCCCAACTTCTTCATTTATTCTTCATGTTATTGATTATTTTTGGATCTCAAAACATAGTTTGAGTTCAAAACAGTTGAAACCCTTTATCGTATTAACCCCGATGATCATTTCCATATCCTTTCCCATTGTCTCCTTTTTCTAATAAGAAATGTATTTAATTTATTTTTTAAGCTTTTACTGAACTTTTCAATTTTGACGTTATTCCTGACCCAAAAATCGTTACTGCTGGATTGCGTGCTTGTCGTCGTGTGAATGATCTCTCTCTTGCTGTTCGCTTTCTTGAGAATGTTAAACTTAAATGTGGAAGTGGAAAAACTCGGAAATTGGTTTATCCGTATATTATTCAAGAGGTTTCTTATAAAAATATTTTTTATTCTGATTTGGGTGATTTGGGTACCTAAATAGGGTTACTTTAACCATTTTTAAGCTGCATGCAAATAAATGGTGTGTAAATAAAGTAAATAGGTTCCTGAGGAAAATCTGCAACCCCGAATTATTGGAAATTTGTTGATTGATCTTTCTTAAATTTTTTAAAAAATTATTTTTAGGTGCAACCAGTTCTTGATGAATTGGGTATTCCTACTCCCGAGGATTTGGGTTATGACAAGCCAGAATATTTCCATCCGGCTTCAGAGGAGTATTGGGAGAAAAAGTGGTAAGTATAAATTTATATAGAAGCTATTAATTGGATAAGACTTTTTTTGGAAATTATGTGATGAGTTTTTTGACTTTACATAACTGAGGTTGAATTTAACTATATAAATTAGGAAGGGATTTCTTCATTTTGAGTAATTTTCCGTTAATTTTAGATAAAGGATTTCATGAAAGAGTGTTTTCCCAAAATTAAAAAAAAATAAAAAAATTCAGGTACAAGGATTACGGCTACACTAAAATGCCTGGTTATGAACATTTTGGATGAGAATTGTAGAGAGACAATATAAAATATAAGAAAAGGGATAGTTTGGAGGAATATTTTTAGGGATAATATTTTTGTGTAAAATTTAAAGTTTCTTTTAAAGTAAAAATATTTTGAGAGAAAATAAATAAATTGTTGATATTTATTTTTATTTAAAATACAAAAGAAAATTATATTTTAATTAGAAAAAAGTTTCCCTTTTTAATTTTTAATTCTCTTTCTTTCCTGGCCTTTTCTTTTTTAACGCTGTTGTGGATTGATTGGAGCAGTGAAAGCTTCAGCAGTTAATGTTCTGTTACTAAAAATTTAATTTTTATTTATTTTTTAAAGAAAATTTAAAAATAAAGGAAAAAGATTATTTTTAAAAAGGAAAATTTGTTAAAAAAAGTTTTCATTACTCTCCGCTTTTTCCACCAAAACGTTCCCCACTGTCCATTGTTAATGACCCAGCACCAAGTCCAAAGCCGACACCCTTAAAGTTTTTTTGTTTAATTCTTGAATTGAATTGTTAGTGTTTAAAAATACAAGGTATTAACTGACAAAATCTGTCAGAGGGAGACTTGGGGTATGTTGGAGATGAACGTTAAGAAACGAGATTTTGTTTCTCTCTCATATGTACCTTTTAAACTATTTCAAGTTGAGCAGGAAGTTTAAGTAATTTTGGTTAAGACTAGCTTGAAAAAAATCTTTCGAATCAAACCGAAATTAAAAGATAATAGAGGGGAACAATCGTTAAAGGCTAGTTTTCCCTCTTCGTTAATGCCTCAGAAAATAATTGCCCAAATTTTTTATTTTTAAACCTTAGGACCAAATTTACGTCCATGACATTGTTTGCAAAATAGTTCAGCTTCGTGTGGACAAGCATTAGTTGAATCAAGTAATTTGTTGCACATTCCTTATAGAGGGAAAAGGTTATTTTGGATAGAAAATTGTAAAAATTAAAAGGAAATGTTAGGGATTATTTTTGGTAAGAACACGGAGAAACATGTTTCTCATTTAAATTGAAGTATTCTCTTCCTTCTGAGAATCTCCTTCAATTAAACTTCAATGTTTCTTCTAAATGAAAGCATGCTTCTCAAAAACAAAAAAACATTTATTTCTTTACGTCATTTCCACTTCTCGATTTCCAAATCGTTCCCCCATATCCATCGTTAAAACACCTCCTCCTACACCAAACCCAACACCTTTCGGGCCATATTTTCTCGCATGACATTTGCAACAAAATAATTGGGCTTCATGTGGAGAGACGTTTGTAGAGTCCAATGCTTTATTACAAAGCTCTAAAAACCGGCACGAGGACCAAATGAGAAAATTTTTTAAAACAATTTTTTAGAATTTGTGGTTTATTACTGTAATCATTACTAATTAAACTGCTCAAATGCTTTAAGGTACATTATAGAGCAATTTTGTTCGATATTTGTGAAAAAGGTAGCTAGACTGAGCAAACTCAGATTTTTAAAAATGGAAGGTGGGAAGAGCCAAAAAAAAGTGAATTGCAGGAAAACAGCCACGAAGGCAGGAATACCCCTCCCTATTCTCCTCCTCTTCCAACTACATATTTTTCAGTCTTCTAATTTATTCATAAATTTAATTCTCACCACATTTGAAGCAAAATTTATGCCAATCATCTTAAAATATTTTAAATTATTTTTATATAATCTACTAAAATACATCCTCCAGCGACCATTTTCTCTGCTGCATAAACTGACTTTCCACATTTTGGGCATTTTGATTGGACTGGAGGTTTAAATCCGGGCATTTTTATAAATATAAATCTCTCTAAAATATTTAAATTTTTTAGTTCCACTAAACTTGGAGACAGAGACAAAGGGGATAAATATTTAGTAAATTAACTTGTAGTTAGTAAAAAGACAATTAAAGGACTTATGGAATAAAATTTGAAGTTCTAAAATTTGTTTACTATTAGTGATTTTTAAATATTTTGTGGTTGATATATTTATGTGAAAACAAGAGGAGAGCTTTTATTGTGTAAAGAAAGAAAGGAACTGTCTCTTCTCTCCTCTCTTTTTACACTTTTTACTTTAGCTGACAACGGCTGTTTTTAAGTGACGAAAACTTTTATAAAATCAACGAAAGCATTCGATTGGATATGTGAATAGAAAGGAAAAAAATATTTTTTAGAAGAGCTTCTGTTCAGTTTTTGTTTAGACTAGTCACTTTAAATGTAGTTGAGGAGAGGGAAGTTTAAAGAGGGATTATTAGCTTAGATAAATTGGATAAAATAATTAAATTTGGGGTCTATACGGAAATCATGCCGGCTTTCTTTATTTTTTTGGACTGGTCACTAGTTTTTAATGTTTGTGATCCAAGGCTATATTTTTTCACAAATGTTTTTCACAATCACAGACATTAAAAACTTAAGAAAGATGGCAATTCCGAGCCAGTCCAAAAAAGTAAAAAAAAGAATATTTTTTAATGTAAAATTGGTTGGAATATATTTATCGTTAATGTAGTTAAGTATTATCATGTTCTCTCCAAGGAAATCGTTCTGGGATATGTACAAAATTGTAAGTAATAACATTTAATTCAATGTATAAAATCCTTATTAAAATAAATAATGTGTTGTTTATTTAAAAAAAGTCAATTTAAACATTAACACAAATTTTTCAATGAGTCATTTTAATTTAATTCCTTTTTTAATTTTTTATAACAAATTTTTAAATAAAGTTAAAAAAATCTTTTTTTTTATTTAAACACAAAAAATTATGTAAAGAAGATTTGTTTGTCTTTTATTAGTTTTACTGACAACATTAATACTTCAGAAAAAAAATTTGGATTCTATTTTTTGACAATAAATAAACTGAAATTGAATCAAATTTTGAAGCTAACCTTTTAAATTTCCTACATTTTCTAGGTATTTATCATTAAATTATAAAGTTTCTATTAAAGTTTCTTTTTATTCCCGAATATTATAGAAAAATCTATTTGGAATTCTTTCCCAAAATTTTTTACCTTTAATTAATCATTGTAAAATAAATAAATATTTTATTTAATTATTTTATTTTTATCTTTTCTTATTTGGAATTTAAAATTTTGTCCGGAAGTTTGTCCGGAAATGATATGAATGTGAACAAAAATAGGTGTAAATTGGTTTCACCTTATCATATTTTCCTAAAAATTTTTTAAAAAATATTTTTGAGAGCATTTATGTATATTTAATGTTTATTCAAAATTTGGAAAGTATTTATGTACATATTTAGATATCAAAATTTTTTTTGAAAATTGGTGTCCGGAAATGATATACTCACCTTTGATAATTTTGTTTAATTATTTTTATTTTCAAGTGTCAAAGAGCATACAAAAGGTGTATATCGAGATTAATTTTTAAAAACGGAAATGGCACACCCCTATATTAAATACCCACAACCCCTATAACACAAACTCCAACCAAGAAAAGGAAAATATAAAGAAGCAAATATTCCTCTCTCTTTGTCTATATTTTATTGATTTATCTTAACAATTTTTATTCTTTATAAAATTTAAAATACAGTAAGGTGCAAAAGTTTATGCCGCTACACCTCGCACGCAGAAAAGTCGATTTATCTCAGGAAGAAAAGGGACTTAAATAAAATCGATTATATATTAATTAAATATAGTTCATCCTTTATAATATCCATAAAAAAAATTTTTTTAATAACTACGTTATTCAAAATTTATTCGGTCATAACTTATTTACCTCACATTTTGGGGGAGCAAAAGTTTATGCCGCTTGTAGAAAAAAAATTTTTTTGGTTCCAAAACAAGACGAAAAAAATTACAAATTTTTTTATAAACATTTCCATTGATAATGAATGGACAAAGAGAAAAAACGAAGTCTGTACTTGCATTATTCATTGAGATCCCAAATCTCAAAAATCAACGGGAAATGAGGTTACAGTACTTAAAAAAATATTTAAGCTCCCTAGGGCCTGTATTAAAAATACTTTTTGGGCTCATTAGAAAGCCCATAAAATTTGCTACAAACTACACTTGGTCTCATATGTGTGAAAAATTTCATCTCTGAGATAGGGTCGCATGAATACACAAAGTTGTCAAAATCACCTGAAATACCCTATAAAATGTTTCTTCGGTAATTCATGCCACCCTACCTCCGAGTTTAAATTTTTCAAATATAGGTGACCGACCTTATTTTGTAGTAAATTTTATGGGCTTTCAAATGAGCCTAAAATAAAAATTTAAAAAAATCCATAAGGGGTCGAAAATATTTTTTCAATCACTGTACCCCGATTTTACGCTGATTTTTAAGATTTTGGATCTTGATTAAAAATAACTTATCGAATCCTTTCTTTTTGCTTTTCAATTCAATATCAATGAAAATGTTTATAAAAATTTTTTGAACATTTTTTTGACTTGTTTTAGAACCAAAAAATTTTTTTCCTACAAACGGCATAAACTTTTGCTCCACCAAGATTGGAGGCAGGTAGGTTTTGGCGCCTATAATTTTTGATTAAAACGGTTATGGGAAATTTTTTTAATAAATTTTATAAATAGAAGACCTACTTTTAAATAATATATAATCGATTTTATTTTTGTCCCTTCTTTTCTCGTGATATATCAACTTTTTCTTATGCGAGGTATAGCGGCATAAACTTTTGCACCTTACTGTAAAATGAGCGCAAATATTGAAAATAAAAAATTTAAAAATAATTACAATATTCATTCAACAAAGGATTCTTTATTAAGCAAAAATTCAGAATGGAAGGATTTTAGTGGAATTCGAAATTATTTTATTTTTTTGGTGGTAAGAAATTAAAATATTTTTGAAGGAAAGGAAAAGAAGGATATTGAGAATCAAAAAACTTTTGTGTATATCCTTTACTAATTTTTAAAAGCTTTGTCTTATATCCATTACACCTTACCTCCTCCTGCATAGCTTTATAGGGATTAATTCTTTACACAATCTACATCAAATTTAATAATTTTTTTGTGGTAGAATTTTTTAAATTTTTTATGGTTACACGCAACTAAGAACCTTACTTTGAAGGTTCTTCTAAAAAAAGTTATTTTACTCCAAATAATTTTCTGAATTTCCTTTAATTATTCTATTTTTACATATAAACATTTATAATTAATTAGGTTATTTTAATTCTTCAAAATATTTTGGAAAGTTCACTCAATAATGGAATACTAGACACACTTCAATATATTTATATTAGTTTATGGAATACTTCAATTCAGGCCAAAGACAGTTTTTTGCTTCTGTTATGCTCTAATTTAACAATTTTGAGTGTTTACTTTTTGGAGCTTTTCCTTTGTAAATTTTGATAATTTTATAAAAAATTGAAATTTAAAAGATTTGGGGCTATAATTTAAGAAATTAATCTAAATTAAATGTTGATTATCAATGTCCCGTTAGAAAAATAATTTTGAGCGTCTTGGAAAGTAAATAGACCCAGATTAGAGGCGGGCGCATTGCGTTTTTTCGACAAAAATAACGCAAAAAGACACCTAATCTGGTGGAAAAAGGGAATAAATTTGACTTTAAGGGCCATCAAAAATTCTCAAAATTATCGCCTGCTGTGTCAATTTTTAATTTAAAAATAAATAATATTTGTTTTTACCCAATTGTTTATTGTCTCCCTCCTGCCCCAGATCCTGGTCGAATTCCACAATTATATTTTATTTTTTTATAAAATTTATAAATTTTCTATTTGACTCTTGTCCTCCTACACTAGAGCTAAAAAATCTTTTTTTCTTTTAAAGCAAAGAAATGGATACCGTTTAAATTGGCTATTTTACTTTATTTGGTGGTTTTGGTTATACATTTACTTTTGCCTGTTTTTGTATTATTCAAAACAAAAGTAATTCCAGCTTTAATATTTATTTAATTTAAAAAATAATTTAAGGACAATTTCTTTTTTGTGACTTTTTCGGTGGCCTGTTTAGTTACTGAAGGAATGAAATTATTCTCTTATGCTCACGTTAATTATTGTTGTCGGCACTTGTTATTAGCTAGAGAGAATAAATGTAAAGATTTTAAAAATAAGAAGGGGATAAATGGAAGGAGTTCCCCTAAATAATTTTGATTGATTATTTCGAAGATTTCGATAAATTTAGACATAAAGTAATGACTAGGTTTGGTAATGGATACGAATAGGATAAAAAAATGCCTGCGGTATCCGCCATAAATATCCGGATACGGATACCAAAATCCATGTCCATTATCAAGTCTGGTAATAACGATTCTTAATGAGCGTTTTCTCGAAATGATTTTTAATTAAATTATCAGCCATTAAAAATATAGGTGATGATAAGCTACTAGCTGAAGAAGATATTCAAGATGACTGTATAAAGGAGGAATTACCTGAAAAAGAAGAAGAAAATGTTAACGAAAATATTTGTAACAACGAAAACAAAGAAATTAAAGAAGACGAATCTCCACAGGACAACAATGCTGTCACTAACCAAACTCCGATAGACAACAAATTATCACCATTTATTTTGAAAATTTCAGAAGAACATTTAAAATTATATCCACAGAATTTAACTATCAAAAATTTGTATTATTTCATTATGGCGCCAACTCTTTGTTATGAATTGGAATATCCAGTTATTCCAAAGAGGCGGTGGTCTTTAATTCTTAATCATTTAATTGAGGTAAAGTTTGAAACTGTGCACAGTAATGATTCTCGAGACATATGGGTTTTAATTTTGAAGTGTTTAAACATTCTTATAAATCAGCCTAAACAAAAAAGAGATATGTATTTATGTTTATTGCCAGATAGTCCTTCAGTTAAATGTCCTCCTTCCCTTTCTGAAACTATACCATCAACTAATTGATGGTAAACCTTTGAATAGATGTGAAACACTATTTTTCCCATAATACCATGTGGAAGCAATTATTTGTTGGTTAAAACTTGCTAACTTTTAGGGGCATAAACAAACATTACTAATTCTAAATAATAATATCTAATTTACTTCATAGTTTATTTCACTTGTTTACGTCATGATTGCTTTACATAAGTATTCTAATCCAATATTGGAAAAAATGGAAAAACAGAATCAATTTTTAACACTTATTCAATTATGTATTCCAACGGCTGTTATTTATTTGATTGGATTTTATATTTATTTCCATGCATATTTGAATTTTCTTGGTGAAGTAATGAAATTCTCTGACAGGGAATTTTATGGGTAATTTTTGTTTAGTTGTATGGAATTCTTTTCCAAAATTTGTTTGTCGATAAGTAAACTATAACCGTTCATTATTCGGAACTTATGTAGTTTGGGTACACACCCCATTAATTCGCAAGCTCAAATGGACAAAGTAACCATATTGAGGTCGGCAAAACTCTTGGGCATAATTCCTTGCATCATGCGTTGTTATCCAGCACGCGTCTCACAAGAGTCGAGAGCTGCTTTGTTTAGTACACAGTAATATAGGCTCATCGTTAGTTCGCGAATAAATGGGTTGATTAGTTAATTCGCCTAATAAATGAGGGTCATCTCGCGAATAAATGGGGGTGTGTACCCAAACTGCATAAGTTCCCATTATTCAATTGTTTGGGAAATATATCAAGCAGTCATTTTTCTTCATTCTAGATATAAATAAAAGTAATCGCTTTAGTAGCTCAGTCCTAGGAATATGGAATTACCTTTTCTTACCTTTTCTTATTATTTTTACTCTTTTCAATTCAATTTTCAGTCCCGTATGGAATTCTAATTCAATATTAGATTATTGGAGAAATTGGAATAAAAGATTTACTCAATGGTGTAAAAGGCATCTTTACATACCTTTAATTAAATTAGGCTGGACTAAATTTTGGGCACAAGAAGTAGTCTTTGTACTTTCTGATTTGTTTCATGCTTATGCAGTTAAGTGATTAGTTTTTGTTTGTTTGACATTTATAATTTTCAGTATTATTTTGCATTCAAAAAAGTTCTTATTGGAGGAATGATGACACAACCATTATTTGGAAGGTTATTAGAGCGAATTATTGGGGTATTTAATGTTTTTAGAAATTTTTAAAAAGAATATTTTTTTAATTTAAGCATGGACGTTGTGGAAATTTCCTTTTCTGGTTTTATATTATTTTCACACATGCAGGAGCGAGTATTTTTCTATATGAACATCTAAAAAATAAACTGTCATAAATGAAAATAAGAATTAAATAAATTTGGCATTTGGGGAAGAATACAAAGGGGGGTTACACAGGAGGTGGACTCTCAATTAAAAAAATGTCCTAAAATGTTACGGTGTATTGTTCGGGACCAGACATATGTCATTCGATTCGTCTCGGCGAGTTGAGTCGAATCGTAGCACTCACTACTTTAGGAAATGATTCTTGGATGAGTTATTGGTCCCAAAAATTGGAAAACCTCAATTTTGGTTTAAACATTTAACAAAGTTATGAGTTTAAACAAAGTTACGCGATTTAAACAAAGTTATGAGTGTTTGTTTTAGCTCCTTACCTATGGTTAGACAAATCGAATGACATTTGTCACGTCCCGAATATTTCCTTACCACACAATTGCTGAAAATTCCCATTTTTTAATTTCGAAAATCGGGAGTTCCAAGTCATTTCCAATTCCCGATTTTCAGAAATTAGAACATCAGAATATCCTCCATAAATATGTACATATTTATAATCCAATACACATTTTGTCCCCATTTTTAAATTTTTAAAATAAATTTTTGGAATTTTACGAATTGAAGAGATTTTTGTTTTTTAAATTTATTTTCTTTAATCATAAATAAATAAATATTTGTATGTGTTGTTTTATTTTAAAAAGAATTCTAATATTAAAATACAAATATGTATGAGTCATTTTGTTCTCATTCTTCCTTTTTATTTTTTATTACAAATTTTTATATCGATGTAAAAAAAGTCTATAAAGATTTGTTTTTTTTTAATTTTTGTAAAATTTTTAAGATTTTCTATTTTACCTTTTCTTGCTCCCGATTTTTATTTTTTAAAATAATTTTTAAAAATTAATTTTTTAGAAAACAAAATTTTTTTATTTAAATTTCTATATAAAAATGGCAGCCCGGAAGACAGTTACACGTAGAGCTAGACCCCAAAGGGCAACTAGTAATGTTTTTGCAATGTTTGACCAGGCACAAATTCAGGTTTATTTTTTGGAATTTTAAAGTAATTAAACAAAAATTTTTTGAAGGAATTTAAAGAAGCTTTTAATATGATTGACCAAAATCACGATAATTTTATTGATGAGCATGATTTGAAGGATATGTTTGCCTCTTTGGGGAAGGATGTTAGCGATAAATTTATTGAAGAAATGATTAATGAGGCTTCGGGAACGATTAATTTTACTATGTTTTTGACTCTTTTTGGAGAGAAATTGACTGGGACAGATCCAGAAGAGGTTTTTTTGTTAAATTATTTTTTTAATTAGACATGAAATAGATAAGGATTGTGAGGGGTTTTATTTAGGAAAATTGAATTTTGGAATTAAAATTTTTATCGGGTTTAAATACTTGTATAATAGAAAAGCAACACAGTTCCCAAGAGAATCTAATTTCTAAGCCTAGTCCAAATGTTGCTTTCATAAGCCAGTCCCAGTAATATTTAAGAAGATTGGTCCCTAGTAAAAGTGCTCTTGTGTATTTTTAGAATGTCAGTAGGTAATTGAATGTGCTGAGTTTGGGTTTAGAAAGTTTAATTCGAATCCCAGACCCGACCAATCCCTAATTCTTATATAAATTCCTAGCTGGTCTATAATTTTTGTTTCCAAAATTTCCATGATTGTAAGTGGTGAAAATTTCTCTAAAATATTTTTTCTATTAACTTTCCATCTTCATAGAGGAACAACCATCAATCCTTCTCTGAATTTTCTTTTTTCTAACAATTTGCTTAATTCTTTTACCATTTTTCCAATTTTGTAACCAAAAACTTTTTCTTATCTTTTTTTTATTTAAAGGTTATAAAAAATGCTTTTCAATGCTTTGACGAAGACAATAGCGGGACTATTTCTGAAGAAAGACTTCGAGAATTGTTAACTACAATGGGGGATCGATATACGGATGAACAGGTTTTTTTTTGTTTGGAAAGATTTTTTTGGAAAATAAATTTTTAGGTTGATGAACTTTTTCGTGATGCTCCAATCAAGAATGGACGTTTTGATTATATGGAATTTACTCGAATGTTGAAACATGGAACTAAAGAGAAGGATGAAGAAAAGGCTAAATAAATCGACGAAATGTTTAAATAAATAAATAAAAAGGTTTTTCTTTTTTAAATCATTCCCTCGTTTTGTTAAAGGCACAAATGGAAAATTTGAAAATTATTTTGAAATTCTTTAAATCGGTATTTGTTGTAGGAATCAAATAAATTGGGCTAAATCTCCCTTGGAGGGTTTTTGTGGAAATTATTTCTGAAGAATATTTAAGTCTAACGAAATATTTTAGACATACATATTTCAATTTATTCCAATATAAATTATTTTTTTAAAAGTATAATTTATTCCTGTTAATATACAAGAAAATGTGCCTAAATAATTAAAATGCAATTCCTTGCTCTCTTATTATAAATTAAATTTTGAAACAAAAATATGTTGAAAAGCAATTTATTTCTTTTAAATAATTTTGGTAAAATAAATTTTTTGATCATTTTTGTAATTAGGTAAAGGTGGGGGAGGAGGGGGTGGAGAAGGGATTGAATTAAATAAAGGGTTTTGTGTTAAAATAATATTTTTATTTAAATTATTTTCTTCTTTATTAATTAATAAACAATTTTTTAACAATCCATTTCTTTCAAAAAGTTTAAAATTTGAACCAAAATTTAGAATTGGAGGGGATTTGGAATATCCACATTTAATGTAGAAATTAGCTTTGTCTGTTGTAGAAAGAAAAATCTGAAAGAAAAAAAAATTATTTTAATTTTAGTTGGGGGAGGTTTCAGTGAAGTTTCTAATGGAAAATATAATTTCTAAATTATCAAGGTCCATTTAAAAAAACATTCCTATAAATTTGAAGATAGATTTATAAGATAATTGATCTGTTGTGTAATGGGAAATTTTATATGTCCTACCAAAGTGTTAGAGGTGCTACATATCCCATTAATATAAACTACACATATTTATTACATATTATTTTCAATAATTTTTCCCTCAAAACTTTCAAAAAAAACCTCTTTAAATCCAAATTCTTTTGCACACATCTCTATCCCTTCCATCAAAATTCTTCCAAATCCTTTTCCTCTTAAATTCTTCCAAATAACCACAGATTCAATCCAACACCCGTTTTCATTTTGAGGTAAAGGACATAAACGGGCATGTCCAATTAATTTATTTTCTTTTTCGAGTAAAATAATTGATAATGGAGGCTTTTTAATTATTAAATAATTTTTAAAAAAAGAGAAAGATATACTTTATTATTTAATGTTTTTTGAATACTAATCCTTCGAATGTTAATACTTTTAGGCCATTCCTGAATTATTTGAGAGTAATTTTAATTAAATATTAAAAAGGGTATTTTTACTGGATTTTCTTTGTAAAAGTATAAATTTTAATTTCCAAATTTCCTATTACAGAGAATACATAAATATACCGTGTTTACTCGATTAAATCCCCCTTGCTACGGAATAGTTGAAACATTAATCCCCTTCTCCCAAATACCCTAAAACACGTTCAAATCTTAAAACTCGAATAACTCCTCTCCCTTGAATAATTCCCCAGGGGAATTAATCGAGTAAATACGGTATGAAAAAATAATACATAAATGGGTTGAACTCTTTTCACAATAATTCCTTTTCATCTCAAATAAAATCTTTCAAAAGCATATTTTTTCTATCAACTACTAGGCAAATTAATAACCCCTCCCCCTCTCCAAAATTTAATTTTACATTTTTAACGGACCTCATTAAGTAATTCAATACATTCTTCAATAAATTCAGGCATATCAATTAGAGGCACCAACTGCATATTTTCTAATTTAATTTTCATTGTCTTTTCTCTATTACATAATTAAAATAATTTATTTTTAAAATTTTTATTTTAAAATAAAAAAATAAATTGAAAAATTTTAAGTACAAATTCTTTGAAATATTTTATTTTTAAAAATGAGAAAAATGAGGCGTTTTAACTGCATGCACCTTTTAATAAAAAATTAAATGAAGGTAATCGTGGGAGTGCCGGAAAATTGGGCTCTGGAAAATTGGGCTCCAAGATTTTTCGGAAAATTGGGCTCCAACTTTTCGGAAAATTGGGCTCCAGCGGAAATTTGGGCTCTACGTGAAAAAAACGGAAAATTGGGCTCCAATTTTTTAGGCGCGGGGTATTGTGGGCGTCAGAGTGAATTTTTGGATTTAACGAAAAATGACACAAAATCAAACAACGTAAACCTATGGGCGTCGGCGAGGCGCTTGTGCAAAATCCCGCGCTTCGCGCGGGATTTTGCGGCACGCGCCTCGCGGGAGTCAACGGTCGCTGGGCTCTACAACAGTAACATAAACCTATTCCTTTTTATGATTTTCAGCTTTGAAATGCCGACCTACCCACTAAGTATCAGCACTCCAAAGAATTTTGTGATATTTTTCCAATAAATCCAAAAATTCACTCTGACGCCCACAATTCCCCGCGCCTAAAAAATTGGAGCCCAATTTTCCGTTTTTTTCACGTAGAGCCCAAATTTCCGCTGGAGCCCAATTTTCCGAAAAGTTGGAGCCCAATTTTCCGAAAAATCTTGGAGCCCAATTTTCCAGAGCCCAATTTTCCGGACACCAATCGTGGTGGTGAAAAGACAACAATTGTTGCGCCCTTTTGGATATAAATGTTTGTATGTATCTAATCTTGTCTCTCTCTTTCTTTATTAAACAAATGAAACATTATTTGAAGTTTTAATGTTTTGTTTTTTTTTAAATTTTTAGAAATTTATTTTCCAAAAATTCAAAAATCACAAAATAACCAGAATTTGGGGACAATAAAAGAAAACAAAAAAGAGAGACAAAATCTGGTAGAAACAAATTTTTCGAGTCTAAAATTGTTGAGATAAGGGATTAAAAAGAGATAATTGTAGATAAATTTTTGGCCAAAAATGAAAATCGTTGAATAAAAATAGGGTCCCCAATCCCAGTTTAAAATTAAGTTGAAAAGCACGGTGAAAATGTGGGAGATTCTATATAAAATTAAAATATTTAATAGGTTATTTGAGTCTTGTTTATTTGAATCTCTTAAAAAGACATGCTTACAAAAATATTTAAAAGACTCAAATAATCTCTCATATAAATTTAAGCGATTGGCCAATTCAATTTTTGTTAAAATTTAATCTCTTTAAAAATTATCCGAATTGTCCACCACCATTTGAGTTGTTATTCCCTCCTCCTTGCCCTCCAGAGCTCTGTTGCTGTTGTTGTTGCTGGGAAAGTTGTTGATTATATTGTTCAAGAAAATAATGAGGCTGGTACATTCCTAGAGGATTAACCTAAAAATTATAAAAAAATTTTTAATCAAGTTATAAGGCAGGGAATTTTAATATTCGGGCTAAATCGGGAGACGGATTGAAAGACTAAAAAAACTTTCAAAAAAACTCTAACCGGATTCTCAGTAATATTCGGAAAGGCAGGCTGGCAAAGCGAGTTGTAGTAGAGATCAAGCATTTGCACAGGCGTTCTATTTCCACCTGCACTAGAATTAGCTATAGAACCTCCAGACTGGGAAATACCCCCTAAAATAGAAGCAGAAGTAGCAGCCACTCGTTGAGGAAATCCTTGTGGAAGAAAAGCTTGGGGAAAAGTTCCTGCAGGGGCTAAAATAGATCCGGGCATTGAAGAATTTGGAGCGGAGACATTTGGCTGACCAAAATGGCCTGTATTTCCAACACGTTGTAATACTTGTGCCATTTGAGATGCAAGTGGAGCTTAAAAATAAAAAAATGATTTTTCGAGAAGTGTGTTGTCCTTTGAAAAGATTATAAAAATCATCTCAATCACAGGTCTTAAAATACAGCTTAAGCAGTCCCCTTTACAAGGGTCAACCAGATTAAAAAAATGTACACTACAATGTTTTCGTGTTATTGTAGAGACTGTATTTGGGAAGGAAACACCAAAAAATGGATTTCCCAATCTAGCTCAAAAAATATAAAAAACAAACATTGAAAAGGTGAAAATACTTGATTTTGTGTAATTGCTAAAACAAAAAAGAATTTTTAAAAATAATTTTGTTAATTTATTTTTACGTTGTGGAGCAATAAGATTAGCAGCTCCCCTATTAGGTGTTGTGCTACGAGAAGCTTCAGGTGTTGCTGTACATGATTTTAAAGAGGAAGAATCAGCCAAAGATTGTTGTTGAATTCCGCCCTTTACAGAACCGTCTATCGCTTTTTTGGGTCCTTTCTTTTTTGAGGGGGCATATTGAAATTCTGGGTGTTCTTGAAGGACCTTAAAATTAAAAGGAAACATTTTAATCAAAATTAAATATTTTTAAAATATTAATGGGGGCCTTGTAGTCTGAAAAAAAAATATTCTATTCATGGAATTCTCTGTGTAGATAAAAAAATTTGAGATTTTTCTAACTGAAAAACAATCAAACAAAAGAGGTCCAGAGTCACCATTACCAGGTAACCAAACCATTCCAAAGCTCTAACCCCCTTAAAAATTTTCTTTCCCTACCTGTTTGTGTTCCTCCGAATGTTTTTTTGCTTCCTCAAAGAAAGGTTTCTTCTCTTTATCGGTCATTTTCTTCCATCTTTCTCCCATCTGAATCTGACATTTTTTAATTTTTTATACAACACAAACACAAATACACACATTTAAAAATAAAAACAAAAAACTTACCGCTTTGCTAACTTCATTCATTTTCATTTTTGGATCATCTGCCAAAATTCTTTTTCTTTCCTGTCTTGTCCAAATCATATAAGCATTTAATGGACGTTTAATAAATTTATTTTTGGACGTTCCTCCACCCAAAGCGTCATTTTGAGGATGTAATTCTATATTGGCAGAGATATTTGCTAATGAAGAGTGAGATCGCATAGAAGAAAATTCAGCTGGATCATCTCTACAAAATTTTACAGAATTTTAATTAAAAATAATTTTTTGGCTGTGCGCCAAAACTTTTTCAAGAACAAAAAATGCAAAACGCCAAAGTTGACGTTTTTTGTACGTTATAAAAAGCTTTTGGCGCACATCCAAGCAAAAACATTCTCCAAATTTTTAAACAAAAATTCACAAATTCTTTTTAAATGTACAGTATATAAATATAAAATTCAAATAAAAAATTTACGAAGAAAGATCGTCATTTCGATGTGGCGAGTGATTATTGTGTTCGCGTGTAGATGCCCTCGATTGGTTATCAATATCTCTCATTGAAGAAGGAGATGCCTGAATTATTTTAATTTGCCAATAATTATCTCGATCAATTTTTTTGACCTTCTAATTTAATTTTTACTTAATTTAATTTATCAAAAAATCACTGGAATTAGAAATTTATTCGTTTCCTTTCCAGACTTTAATGGAAGTAGTCAGTTTGATGACCAAAACTACTCTCTTTTAGACTTCAGGGGGAGGGGAGGGGGGTTACTGATTTTGTTACAAATTATTTAATTTCAACTCACACTTTCATCGCATTGTGAATCGTTGCAAGGACTTGTAACATTATTTTCTGGAGAAAGCATTTTTCATAAAAAAAGTTTTTTTATTGTAAAAAAGTTTAATAAGCACCAATATTGAGCTATTTAAATTTAGCACCTTAAATTACAAAATTTTATTATTGTGGCTATTTAATAGTTAAAAATATAAAAAAAGCTTTTCTTTTCTTTAAAAGAAGTGGCAAAAAAAGAAATGAAAGAAAAGAAGATGGCAAAAAGAGGACGACCTGCAATGGACTGATGAAAAAGAAGAAGTAGTTGTGTTTAGTATAAAAAGAAAAGGGATAAACTGAAAAATAAAGAAAAGCAAAGGGAAGTTTAGAAAAAGAAGGCAAAGGGCGACGACCGGGGGCGGATGACGGCCATTTGACAAGACGATGGTAAAATAAGAAAAAAAAAGAAATAAGCAAAGGGAAGAATGAAAAAAGAGTAGAAAATGTTAGTATCGATTTTGACGGGGCTGGCGGAGTAAATGGGGAAGAGGCAAAAGAAGTAAAAAGAATTTGAAAAGGAATTGGATTTTTGGGCGCGAGTATATTGGGGCGCAAGTCTTAAAATTGCGACCCCTGTTTATCTGAATATCTACATAATCGTCAGTGATTCCAAATGATTCATAATTTCTAAAATTATGTATGGTTTTTAGTATCTTTTCGAAATCCAAGAAACGGCATCTGTAAAAAATATACCGTATACTTTTTATTAAGGGCACATCCAAACATCCTCTGCGCCCAAACAACCTTCACCAAAAAAAAGCATTTGAAAAGGAAGCAGTCAACGAATATATAAAAGAAGAAATAAATAAAGAGAGAGGGTATTTCTGACGACCAGCCTTTCTCTTCTTTCATAGAAGAGAGGATGATGGAAGGGGCGAGGGAAAAGAGTGCTCTCCCACTGTTTTGTGTGCAAAAGAGATGTGAAGGATGAATGGCTGTAACTGAGAGAAAAGAAGAAAGAGGGGGGGGACTGTAGTAAAAAAGAAATGTGAAAAAAGGACGGGGTCAGATGCGGAAGAAAAATAAGAAAGAAGATTGGAAAATGGGAAAGAAGAAAATAAAAATAAGGGGGGAAGGGGTAGCAAAAAGAAGAGAGAAAATCTAGGAATTTAGAAAAAAAACAAATGAGAGGGACGAAAATATTTTTTTAAAAATGTCAAGAAATTGGTTGAAATTAAGAGATTCTTAATTCGAATCTTAAATTTGATGTTTTTGGATCGGTCCTGAACCTTTAACTTAACTCTCTTCCAACCCTGTTCAATCTCATCATAATTTCCAATTACTCGTTTAAATCGCTGGGAGCAACATCAACGTAGATAAAGTATACCTACAGATAAATTTTAACTGGATCTCATTGAGCTGTGGGGGCGAGTTTATATGGCAAATCATATTTACATAATTAATGGGATTCACGAAGTGTGAGATCATCTAAGATGATTTGTGTTTTGGATATTTATTCATTTGGCTAGCTGTCTGTAAAACGCCGACATAAAAATTTAAATAATGTAAAAAATTATTTTATTCAAAATTAAATTAGAGAAGTGTCCCCATAAAAATGAGTCATCATATTCTTGTAACATGCCATCTATCTTCTTTTTTAACTCGAAATCTCTCTTTTGTTTTTATCTGCAATTCATCTTTATTTTGCCTCTTCAATTCTTCCCTTTTTAATTTTACCGGTTCATCTATCTTTTTTCTATAGTAGATGAAGTGAATAATTGTTGTGAGGAAAATTTAAAAGGAATAAGGATTTTTGTGTACGTGTAGCGAAAAATATTTAAATTGTGAATTATTTAAAGTCGTAAATTTGTCATAAATTCTCTAAAAGAATTTAAGAATTTTTGGTTAGTAAATATCTTTGGCAAAGGTTTTTCAACATTAAAAACACTAATTTCAAAAATTTATTAAAAAGAATACATAAGGGATATGCATTCTCAAAAAATTTCCATCAATTTTTGTAAATTATTCATACACCCCCAGCAGACGTTCCCGTTCCCCTTCCTCCCATATACAAATTGAAGAAGAGGATATATAAATTCTCTGCTGGTCACTCACTCGCGCTCGATATATCCCCCCCCCCCCTTTCCTCGTTTTTTCTTCAATTTCTCCCATCATTTCTCTAGGTCGCGTCCATAACCTCCTTCCCCCCCCCCCTCCTTCACCATCCTTCGTCCATATAATACTTCGGTGATGGCGTCCCCCCATGTTTTCCCTTCTTTTTTCTCTTCCAATTTTCCAACCTCCTCCTCCTCCCCTAACTACTCCTCATCTTTCTACTTTTCCCCTTTTTATTTGTTTGGCCATTTTCCGAGCAAAAGCGTGCTTTAAACCCAAAACTCATTTATTTTTCCCCTTACAGCAACATTTACATTATTTCCATGTTTTCACTTTTTTCTTTTATTCTGATCGGCCAATTAATTTTTGTCGTTAATTCTAACCAATTGAGGCATTCATTGGCCAATAAACAATTTATTGACCAATTAACTGAAGGATCCTATGAGGTAATTTAAATTGGAAAATCTAAAAAGGAGGGAGAGGACAATTATATTTTTTTAGTTTGTTAAGTAAACCCACAAGATCATCCTCTGAATTAATAAAAAAATAGGTACATGAGAAATTTTAATGGATAAAATGTTTTTTCTAAATTTAAATCGGTCATAAGAAATGTTTGATACCTTCTAGGGTTTGTTATTACATAAAAACTACTACAAATTAATTAAAAATTCAATTCTCCCCCAGATTATTCACCCCTTTCAATTGCGCGAAAAATCAAGAGAAAGAATGGGAATCGATACAAGAGAACATTTTTTAAACACAACACCAATTCAACATTTTCGACAAGTTAGCTTTGTTTTGAGGAGCAGTGTTTTACTTAATCAAAGATTGAGAATAGCTTTAAATTTAAATGAACATTTGTTGGGTGGAGGGGAAAATAAAAATGAGGTGTTTTTTGAATTGAAGTATAAGTATTTGGTAATATTTTAGGCACAGTTAATTGATAAAACAGTAATACAATCTGAACAAGGTATGGAAGTGATTAGGCTTTCGGATGTTGAGAATTGTTTTTACCAGGTGTTTTTAATTTACAAAGTTTTGATGTAAAGCGGGGAGGGAGCTTGTGTAAAACTGACTTTTTTCTGAATTTTTTTACTAACCTTAAATGGATTTAAAAACTTTCATCTTTTATTAAAAACTTTATCCCCGAACATTTCCATTAACATGATCGATATATTTACATATTTTCTCTTATGTATTTCACTCAAACAATTTTTCTCTTTTTTAAAGGGCACAGTTATTGGAGAGCCAGGGTCAATGGTCACTCTGTCAACTTGTGACGGCCTTTGGGGATTGCTAGCATTTGCAAATGGAAGTGCTTTGGGAATTTGGCCGTTAGAAGGGGGAGATAAAGGGAAAAGACATCCTCATGTACTCTTTCGAGTTTTTGGGAATGGAACAGAATGTGGAAGGGATAGTAATGATATTGAAGGACAACAACAAGAAAAATTTATCAAAAGAAGACGAAAAAGGACAAAAAAATTTAGAGGGAAGAGGAGAAGTGGAGGAGAAGAAAATTTGAGACGTTTAAGGCAACAAAGATTATTTTTGGATATTGCTTTGCTTGTTAATAAAGAAATGGTAAGGGAGGGGGGGGGGAGGGAATAAATTTGGAATTGAATGGAAATGTGGGAAGAATGAAGTGGGGGGATTTTCTGTGATAAGAAAAAAATATCAAAGAATTTCAATCATTTTTAATTACACAAAACTAAAATTTAAATAAATAATCCCTCTTTATTTACAGCAATATTTATTCAATATTGGCCAACCAAAATTATTAGAATATTCATTAAATGCTTTAAATATTGCTGATTTAATATTTAAAAAAGGATTAAATATTAGAATTTCTTTAAATTATTTTTCTTTAATTGAGAATTTAAATAAAAATAATTCCAATCAATTACTCGATGATTTACTTGATTTTACAATTAATAAATTATATAAAGAAGAGAAAGATGTAACAATATATTTAACTAATTTAAATAAACAACAACAAAATAATGCTTTAAATGTAGATAATAGTGTTTGTAGTGGGAGGGCTGTTGGCTTTACTCAGGTAAAGTTTTATCAGGATATAACAACATCTCATTGGTCTATGATACTTTCCTTTGCACGTCGATTTAGTCCATTCTCAATGATATATCGAGATTTTACTTTATTTGCAAGACTAAGGAAACCTTCAAATAATTAATTTGAATCTAATTGAATCTCATTTTGTTTATTGACAGCTACAAAAATTTTTTTATCTAGATATAGGTGGGGGTGGCAAAAAGGATTTTTTCCTTTTTTTTAACCAGAAAAAAATTTTGTTTTTAAATTATTAAAAACACATTTTTCTATTAAATTATTTTAATTTTTCTTTAGATATTTAATTTATATGGACCACAAACAGCAGCATTATCATTTGCTCATTCTTTGGGTCATATACTTGGTTTAGAACATGATTTGGCTGAATGTGGTTGTGATATGGAAGAGTGTATTATGAGTGGTAGTAAGGGGTAAATTTGTGTCAAAAAATATTTTTTTTAATTTTAAAAAATTTTTCAGTCAATTTGACCATTTTCCTTGGCATTTTTCTGCTTGTTCTTCAGCAAGACTTGAAAGAAAACGTTCTGCTGATCCAAAAATGGAATGTCTTTTAAAATCTAGTAATTTATTTTCACAATTTTCTCCGTCTTTTCTTTGTGGAAATGGACAAGTAGATCAAGGAGAGGAGTGTGATTGTGGAAGGCGGGATCAATGTACTGACCCTTGTTGTGATCCTTTTACTTGTAGACTGCGGCCACACGCCAATTGTGCTGGTAAATAAATAAATAAATAAATTATTCTCTTAAATTCTCATAAAGCTGTTTTTAGTTGAAATTTATTTTTTTATTTTCTGACAATTTAATTAGATTCTTTTAAGTTTCATTTTATTTTTAAAATCTGCAAATGAACCTTAAGAAAATAAGAATCCATTACTGTGGGTATTAAAAAAGATTTTTTTTTGTAATTTACTCAAAAATAGTTAACGCTTGGTTGACAAAAACGTAAAATTCTTTTTTTTATTTTTTACACGCAAAATTGGTTAATTTTTATATTTCTTTGTCAATTTAAATTCGAGTATTTTAACTTAAAAAATAATTTTAAATTCAATTAACTAAAGAATGAGGGATTTTCTTCTTTAAATTTAGCACATGAGGAATGTTGCCATCGTTGTCATGTTCGTCCATCCGGACATTTATGTCGACCAACCCGTTCAATTTGTGATGTAGCGGAAAGATGTGATGGAAAAAGTGGTGAATGCCCGCCTGATAGTCATTTACTCGATGGGACACATTGTGGATTGGGAAATAATGGGCAATGTTGGCAGGGGGATTGTGTGGATAGTGATGAACAATGTAGAGAGATTTGGGGAAAAGGTACTATTTGTTATGGGCTAGTTAAACTTCATTTTTAGATACCCTCTTTAGAGCTGAAAAATAAGGAGTAAATAGAGGAATATTTTAAATTGGGGATATCTAAAAATGAGGGTTAATTTTATAACTAGACTATAAAGTGTCTACCAATCTCTAACATTTTTTAATTTTTTCAGGCTCTCGAGTAGCAGAATCACTTTGTTTTAGTAAAAACGGACATGCTTTAGAATATGGGAATTGTGGGCGTGATACCGAGGGAAAGTTTGTAGAGTGTGCACCCGAAAACGAGAGGTGTGGATTGCTTCAATGCCATGAAGGATCAGCAAGTCCAACAATACCTAACGCTACAGCTTTTGCTTTCCAATTTGTACAAGAAGAACGTCAAGTTCAGTGCAAGTAAAATTTTTTGATTAAGTGAAAGTTTTAAGGATTTGAAGTATTGGCAACTAAGAAAATATTCAAATTCATTAGGGTCGTCACAAATTCTCCTCTTGGCTTTGTTAAAGATGGAACTTCCTGCGGTGAAGGACGTGTTTGCATTAGAACTGTTTGCCTTCCACTTGCTCAAGTCTCTCCATCTGTCAAGTGCCCAAGCAGTGGTTCTAATATTTCTCAATGTTCTGGACATGGGGTAAAAATTATTATTGAAAATTTTATTTAAATCTATTCTAGTTAGGGATCCATAAATTGAGTTAAATTAAGGACTTATAAAATTCTCCCTCCATTTAATTCTTACTGCTAGGTAATAGGAGTCTTATTTTTTTTGGCCTCAATTTCCAGTTCCAACAATACCATGGGGTAAAAATTATTATTGAAAATTTTATTTAAATTTTCAATTATTGAAAATTTTTTTTTTTATTATTGAAAAAGTGTTAGTGATGGAAAAGTTCTAGTTAGGGATCCATAAATTGAGTTAAATTAAGGACTTATTATTATTGAAAATTTTATTTAAATCTATTCAAATTCATTAGGGTCGTCAAATAAAAGTTCTGGGATTTCCTTCAGGAATGTCACATTCTTTCAGAACTCTTAATTAGAGCCCGGCTCGATACGATTTTTTATCGATAATTATCGATATTTTTCGATATTTTTTTCGATATTTATCGAAAAAATATCGACCGACAAAATTTTGACTTTTTCGATATTTTTCGGTATTCGATATTTTTTCGATATTTATCGAAAAATATCGACCGACAAAATTTAAAAATCGAAACAATCGACCGACCAAATTTCAAAAAATCGAAAAAAATATCGAACGTCATTTCTGACAAAAATTTCGATTTTTGGCACCAAAAAGGATGCATTTTTGCTTATTGCCCATCGGAAATTCAAAAAATTTTCGCCTGCGGCGCAAGAAAAGGAGAAAGGTTTCTTCTATATTCACGATTTAGTTTGCCAAAGCGATATGAGAGTGAGATAATATGTATATGGTAACACTGATATACACTGATATGAATTAAGAAAGATGTCGGTAGATTAAGGGATATTTCAGTGGGTTAAGAGTAACTTGTTGGGATATCTGAAGATTTGGTGGGATATTTGAGATATCCAAGGATTATGACGGATATTGTGGATATCCGGGGTAATCGACTATTTGTATAACTTATAGAGGATTAAGTGGTAAAAATGGATCTCGAGGGATCAAGACGGAACTTTGGGAGAGATGAATATCAAAACGGATATCAAATGCCAAGATTTTTTATCCTCTGATATCTTTTTATCCGCCGATATCCCTCTTAATCCACAAATCCCTTGATATCCCTCCTGATCTCACAAATCCACAATACAGTCTTAATACCTCTCAATCTCTTGATACACACTCAATCCTTCAATATCACCCTTAATTGTTTAAAATTCCATTATCCCTAGTTAAAATCCACTTATATCCCCTTGATTCTTCGATATCAAATACAAATCCATTGATATTACATTTAATCCGAACAAATTCACCAATATCCATTTAATCAATCTTAATCTCATTAAACTATTAGGTCTATTCTGTTTTTCATTGGTTATAGAAAAATTTTTGAAAAATCGAAAAATATCGAGACTTTTTTATCGATATTTTTCGATTTCGATGTTTTTCGATATTTATCGAAAAAATATCGACCGAGAAAATTTTGGTTTTTTCGATATTTTTCGGTATTCGGTATTTTTCGATATTTATCGAAAAAATATCGACCGAGCCCTCCGTCCGGGCTCTACTCTTAATCTATTGTCCAAACCTACATACTTTTTTATTTAAGGACTGTACAAGTGCAGGACAATGTTTGTGTTTTGATGGATGGACAGGGAAAGCATGTGATCTTCGTACACCAACTCGCCGAACAGATAATCATCATTCCCCTTCATTAGAATTTTCTTCTCTTCGTGATATTTCAACTCGTTTTGTTGGTGTTAGTGATGGAAAAGTTATTTTAGAGACAACGACTTTATTAATTATTCTTTTATTTGTTGGATTACTTTTATTATTATTTCTATTATTTCTTTTGCTTTTTTATCGGAGAAGTTCGGCTGATGCATTTCAACATGCAAATATACAATTTAAACAAGCAACAACTACAACTGCGGATGAAGAGGAAAGCAAAAATGAAAATGAGAGAAATAATGCTAGAACTATAAAATTTGGACAAATGCCAAGTTGGAGGGAAGAAAAACGTACAAGAAAAACAAACAAAAGAGTTTATGATGCTCTCCAAAGAATTACTGAGGCGAATGAGGTAAAAGTGGAAAGGGAGTTTTGGAAAATGATTTTAAGAGGGTAAACGGCTTAGGAAATTAAAATTTGTGAAACTCTGAAAAACTTTAATTATTTGTTGGGAATCTACAGGCTATAAATCCCATAACCATACTTATAGTTGAAAAAAGGTTAATAAAAGACTTGTAAAAGATACAAGTAAGACAATTTGCCCAGTAAAGGCTATCTAAACAATACAAAAATTCACTCCAAATTTATTACGAACAATACATATTTACACAAGAAAATAGGGACAATAAGAATCACACAAGAAAACAGGGAGAAATTACATATAGATATACAATTATGAAGGGAGAAATGTTTTTCCTATTATCATCACACTTTGGCTTCATCATCTTCCATCAACCGCTTACATGTTGTACTCGATTGGAAGGTTCTTGCGGCGCACCATACCGTCACCCTGGAACCACTCGCGGCGGAATTGCTTGGCTGCTCCTTCCGGGGTGTTGGTCCATTCGACGGTGACACGGTCGTTGTTGGTCGCTTCCGCAGCCGGATCGAAGGCGTCGCAAGAGATGGCGATGTTGATGGCCTCCTTCGGGTCGAGCACACCGTTGGGCGGGTCCATGTTCAGACGGCGAGGGTTGGTCGTCTTGAAGGCGAAGCCGATACGATGCCCACCAGAGTTGATGATCTGTAATAGTGAAAAGGAAAATATTTATTAGTGGTTAGATTAACAAAAAAGCTGGAAACTTCACCTTCATGTAGTAGGTGTGCTTGTCGTCAAACGGCGCGTTGAAGATGACCTTCACAGCAGGAAGCGTTGTGATGTCGCCGGGTGGAACAGAAGCCATTGTTGAGAACGGTTTGTTGTCGTTGTTTGTGTAGTTGAACAGAAAGCAAGTTGGGGAACTGGCGTACAACAAGGGTTTTTATAGTTCCTCTCTTAAGGATTCTATTCTCGATCATAAAGGTATAAAAGAACCAATATAACGCCAGTCGGTATCAACCAGTTCACTTCAACTTCAATTCCAGCTACAACATCAAACCGTTCTCTACAATGGCATCTGTTCCACCTGGCGACATCACGACTCTTCCTGCCGTGAAGGTCATCTTCAACGCGCCGTTCGATGACAAGCACACCTACTACATGAAGGTGAAGTTTCCAGCTTTTTTGTTAATCTAACCACTAATAAATATTTTCCTTTTCACTTCTACAGATCATCAACTCTGGTGGGCATCGTATCGGCTTCGCCTTCAAGACGACCAACCCTCGCCGTCTGAACATGGACCCGCCCAACGGTGTGCTCGACCCGAAGGAGGCCATCAACATCGCCATCTCTTGTGACGCCTTCGATCCGGCTGCGGAAGCGACCAACAACGACCGTGTCACCGTCGAATGGACCAACACCCCGGAAGGAGCAGCCAAGCAATTCCGCCGCGAGTGGTTCCAGGGTGACGGTATGGTGCGCCGCAAGAACCTTCCAATCGAGTACAACATGTAAGCGGTAGATGGAAGATGAGACGCCAAAATGCGATAATAATAGGAAAAACATTTCTCCCTCATAATTGTATATCTATCATGTAATTTCCCCATATTTTCTTGTGTGATTCTAATTGTCCCTATTTTCCTGTGTGATGTTTTGTAAATATTGTTTGTGTGTAAATAAATGAAAATTGTTGGAGTGATTGTTTTGATTCTTTAGGGAACTTTTAAAAGGTTTATTTGTACCCTTTTGGTATTTTGAGTCCTTGAAATTAAGTCCAAACCACTATCCATGATTTTTCCAACACTGCAAAACTAACAGAAATATGTATAGATAGTTATTAGGGCTCGTATTTATATTGAAATAAAATCGGAAACTATGGCCTTATTTACTTTAAAAACTACAAAAATAAGGAAATGTAAATTCAATTCTTTTTTTTCATTAGATGGACTCTGTCGTTAAAATCACGAGAATCATCAATAGCCATAAATAATGTATTAATAAATCCACAACAACAAATAAGTCCACAACAGCAACAAACCTGTTTAAATATAGCCTCAAACATTTCTGAAAAATATCAACAATCAAATTGTTCTCCCCCTCAAAGTCTTCAACATTCACCAACTATACAAACATTAAATTATCAGCAAAATAATAATAATTCAGGCATTTTTTTTTCAAAAAGAGGGGGAAGTAATTCTCTAGAAATGGCAGAAACATCTTTACCTTTATCAGAAGGAGGAGATGTAGAGGAAGAAGCAATGCTTTTTAACTCCCCTTTTGGCCCTCGCCTTGCCAATATTAGTTTATTGATGCGAAAACTTGAAGGGACAACGGGTAATCAGTTAAATTTATATATTAAATACACTTGTCACATCCCTACACTTATCACAGATAATGAAAGGGGAATTTTAGCTACGGGAATTGGGGAACTAAATCTTTAAAAAATATTTTGGTAAAAAACTTAAAAAAAAGAAATTTCAGAAGAGGAAAGATCAACGCCACCCCTACTTGCTAATTGGTCAGTTCCACCTCCAGCTTCAGCAGATTCTGGAAATCCTGGAAGTAATTTAGAACTAAGGGAATCTCCTTCACTTTTCTCTGATCCTTATAGGCTAGATCTGCCTGGATAGTTTGTTTGTTCTGTCTAGCCATGTTTTTAAAAGATTTAATACTCGAAATTTTTTGATTGATTCTCACACATTCCTGAATATTTTTTAATTTATTTTTATTTATTGAAAATTACTTTTTGATGTGCAGTTTCTAAATTTTTTGTTTTTATTATATAAAAAAATAAATTATTTGAAACTTTTTAAGAATAATTAGCCCGTCAAACAATAAATGTCGAATTTTAGAATAGACTACAACCTCCAAAACTATAAATTATGTAGTTTATAAATATTTAAATTTGTATTGTCTCCCTTTAAACAAATCCAGTCATTTGTTTAATAAGAAGGAGACAACAATATAAATTTAAATATAAACTACATAATTTATAGTTTTGGAGGTTGTAGCCAAAATTCGACAGGACTGGGATATAATTTGAATAAAAGTCCCTTCTCTCCCTCCTTAGACATTTTTAATTTTATTGTCAATATTTATGTAACGTGTAACAGATTCCACATGTCAACTTCTTAGACGAGAAACCCTTTATAAAAATAGCTAATAAAGCGAATTAAATATTCATTTTTAAAACTTTTTATATAAATTTAATTATTGTATGAGAAACAAAGGTCCCCACTCTCCCCTAACTTCCTAGCCTAGTTTGTTTAAATCAAATTTTGTTAAAAGAATCTGTCAGTCGGTTGTTTTGGGTAATTCTTCAAAAGAATTTTAAGGAAAAAATTATATTTATAGAAAAATGTGGAATTTTTATATTTTTGTCTTCTTTTTATTTTTTGTTGGGTTTGTAGAAAGTGTAAAGGAAAATGAAGAAGAAGAAGATAATCAAAATATACCTCTAATTCCTTCACAATCTGAAGGAGAAATAGTAGAATTGGAAGGAAATATGTAAATTACCTAAATAAATTGTCTAAATTAATTTAAATTTTTAGTTTTGAAAGAAGTAATGAAGAAGAAAATGAGGAGGGTAAAGAAGAAAATATAAAAGAGAAAATTATAAGAGAATATCCGGGAATCGAAGGATTTTTGGAAGACCCCAAAAAATTAAAAATTTTAATTAAAAAGAACGGAGAAACGCAGAATAAAATTCCAGAAATTAAAAATCCTTTTGCAAGCATTAATTTAAAAGCTGTCGGCATGAAACACGCTGTATTAAGTTTTTAAAAATAATTTTAAGACATAATAGAGGGATATATATAGAAGGGTTTGGACGTCTTCCATTTTTGCCTTCATCCACAGAATTCCGATTTTCTAATCCTTCTGAATTTTAAAATGATGTAGTGCCCAATCCGGGTATATTAGGAAGGAAAGGAACATATTTTGGTGAAATTTTATGTTTTTTTAGGAGTTTACTGCTAATTTAAATGATTATTGTGAAGAGATGTACAAATCGACAAATAAAAAAGATATTAAAAATTCAAATGAAATAGAAACAGAAAAGTTTGAAAAGAAAAAATCTAAAAAAATTGAAAAAGAAGCTAGAGAATTTTTAAATAAATTAAAAGATAAATGGATAAAAGAAAGTAAGAAAAATTTTAAATTAAAAAATAAAAAGAAAGTAATTACTACTAAATTTGGAAAAAATTTAAAAATAAATAAAAAATTAAATTTAAAACAATTAACAAGAAATGTGAGTAAGGGGATAGAAAATATTATGAGAAAATTTTCAAAAAGAAGTAAAACAAATGAATATAAATTATTAAAAAATGAAATCTAAATTATTTTGTTTTTATAAAAATTGGATTTCATTTACACAACACCCCTTAAGCAGAAAATTAAGGTTAAAAGGAAAAGGGCACCTTGTAACTGAGTGAGAATATTCTCCCTAAAAGTAAATGTTGGAATGCTGTGAAAGTGAAATCTGACTTTAAAATTGAGACTAATCCTTACTCAAAAACGAAGTCAAATTTTTTTGTTTTTTTACCTCACTTGGGCACATTTTTTACCTCACCAAAACCAAGAACAAAAATTCAAAAAAAAGTTTAAGGTCAAGACTCAAGACAGTCTTTGCAGAAAATAATGTCCATCTTTATTTAAAAAAAATCAAGAAGACTAAATTTTTATTTAAAATTTTATTTGTAAAAAATTCACCAAGTAAACATTAATTCACATGTACATACATATATATTTTTTTAAATATTTAATTTTTATTTATTTACCAATAGTTTTGACTAGAGACCGAACCGAGACGAGATCTCGATCGAAAAATCTCGGTTATCGAGATTTTTGAGATCTCGATTCTCGTACGAAATACCGGACACTCCCAGTCCCGTCTCTAGTTTGGACATTTTTAAATATTTTAATTTTTTATTTCAAGCCTTCCAAAGTACCCCATACAGAAATATTATTTTAATTCTTTAAAGTTTTATTTTTTATTGTAATGTAAAATTTTGTATAAATCTTTTAGTATTTCCTTTTTAAAGTTAATTTAACACAAAAACTTGTTGTTTACCTCATTAAGAACTTTATTATTTATTTGTTTGTTTCCCTTGGAAACAAAAGAAAGAAGCCAAATTCGCGAAAACGAGAAGGCTAATATTTATAAACATTTCACTTTAATATATTTTTATTTTATTTTACAATTTAAAAACTTTTAGTTAAGTCAATTCTTTCTTTTTTAGTTAAAAAACTTTTTTAAATAATGTCTAGCGAGAAAAATTATGTTCCAGATTTAAAAAATGTTGATAGTGAATCTGTTCCGCCAAAAGAAAAAGTAAAATTATTTTTTTAAATAAATTTATTTTTAAAATTAAAAAAGGAAATAAAGAAGACACATCCAGGCCGTCCAGGTAATTTAAAAAAATTATATTTTTAAGGGAAAAAATAGGGCTTATGGAAGAGATAAACAAATCACAGGATTTTCAAGTCCAATTAACAAAAAATTATTTTAATAAATCTTCTCATTTTTCCCTAAAGATCTGGATTACGACGAGGCTCCCGTTGGCCCAGCTGAAGGATATGTTGAACAAAAAGAAAGTCAAAAATAAAAACAAAAATTTATTTTTAAAATATCTGTCAATTAATTAATTTAGAATTGCACACAAACAATTATTTGTATATTTTAAAATAAACATTTTGTGCAAATAATTATAAATTTAAAAGGAATAGATTTTCACAACAAATTTAAAAAGGAATATAAGTAGAGAGAGAGAGAGAGACTGTCACCTAATTTTAAGAAAAAAATAAAAACAAACATTAACAACAAAGCACCAAATTAAAAGAGTCTATATAGGATTAAATATAAATCTATATATTTATTTATTTCCAATATTTGTTGAATGCTTCCATAATCTGAAATTTAAAAAATAAAGGTTGTTTAAAAAGAATTAACAGTTGAGGGATTTATTATTAAATTTTGCAAGTTTTTGTGTGAAATTAAAAATTAAACTAATAAAAATTTAAATATCAAGGCTTAGTTACAACAGAATTATTGTTAATTAACTCTTTTCTAACCCCACAATTATTTTAATGTTTTGAAAATTCAGTGGTTTTTAGGTAAGAAAAACTTCAATTAACGAAATTGTTATAACCCGATATAGACACTTATATTTTGAAAAAGTAATTCTAAACTACCCTACTACGTATCCCCAAAATAAATTACTAACACTAAACATTACGTCGATATATATTTTTAACAAAAAATTTAAAAAAACTAACAGAATCGTAAATCATAAAAGTAATTGCAACATCCAAACAACTTTAAAAAAAATAAATTTAAGTTTAAAAATTAATTTAAAAATTAAACTTACACTCTACTTAAACGAGGAACTGTTCCCTTATAAAAACTAAAAAATAAAATAAATTTTTTTATAAAATAAAAAAATTCTTACGCAAAAAATCCTTCTTTAACCCAAATCTGTTTAGCACAATCAAAAGTATTTTTATATTTTTTTGCTTCCAATCCCTGCATTCTAGTCTTTACAACATCTACAGGTGTGTTACCATAACTAAAAAATAATTTTTCTAAAAAATTTTCTTAAATAAATTTTTAAGTTTGTAGAATTTAATAAAAAAAGCAAAAAAGGAAATCAAAAACTTAAATCGAAAAATTATTTTTCTAAATTTATTTTTTTCCATGACCTATTAAAAATATTTTTTTCTAAATTTTGACATAAGCATAAAAGGAAATCTCTTTCTCAATTTTCTTATTAAAAATTTAATAATATTTAATTTTATTTAAATAATTATTTGTCCAATTGTTTAAAAAAATTTTCTCAAAGCAAAATTTCTTACACACTAGCTGCACCAGCAATCGCCCCAAACAATCCAACAACAGGTTTACTAACAGATTTACTACTATCCCCACCACGATACCAATCTTTTAAAGTTTCCATTACGAAAAAACGAATTGCTTGATTACTTCCTTGTTTTACCATTGTGGCTGTTAATCCTTGATAAAGTCCCTAAAAATAAAAATTTAAATCGAAACGTAGAGGAAATTTGGAAAAAGGGGCTGAAAGAAAGATTAGTAATATTAATCCAAGGTTGATCCCCATATTTTTACTCACAAAAAAATTAAACAACCTTAAATCCTTCAGTTTTAACAATAACTCCAAGTCCATGAAGAAATCCACGAAAACGAGGCTTTTCCAAAGTTTGGTCATGTATAAATTTAACTTTAATTGTTTCCATAGGAGTTACAGCCAAAATAGCTTCTGATACCCCAGCACCAAGTCCACAAGCAAGTCTAAGTAAAGGAGAGAGATTTCCACGTTCATCGACAGCTCGGCTCTTTAATGACTCAAAAGCACCAAAACGAACGGAAGATTTTGGAATTGAACCATATCTAAATTAAATTTGAAAATACTTGTAAAAAACTAGAAAACATACAAAAGAACAGAAAGTCCTCTATAAAATCCAAAAAATCCTTTACTTTTATAAGTTTGTTTAACACAATCAACTGGCCCCTAAATTATTAATTAAACTTTATTTGAAATTTAAAAATGAAACTTTAAATCTCGGGACAGCAGAACGTTCGTCTAATTGTAGTTGAGTCTTGACATATTCTGTTGGGTAAGTTATACAAATTTCAATTCCTCCAGTTACACCACCAATAATAATTCCTTTTGTTGTCTTTTCTGAAGGTAAAAATCTAAAAATGTTTTTATAAATATTTTTAAAAACTTTATTTGGCTAAAGAACACTTTACCGGGCGATTTTTGATTTGGACAATCTATATGTCAATCGAAAGAGCTCATCGAGCTGACGAGTCGAATAACAACAAAATTAGGTGTCATGTTCCCGCAGACTAATTTTGGTATCGTTCGACTTAGCTGCCAAAACTTTCGATTGAAATATAAATCGTGCAAATCTAAAATCTCCCAGTAAAGTGTACTCCAGCCCTTTATTTAACCTTCTATATCCAGAAATTATATTAGAATTAACATTAGTTGTTGTTTCATTATTATTTGGAGGCATTACCTCACCTCCTTTTTTAAATACTAAAATTAAAAAATAAATAAAAGAAAAGAGAATAAAAATAAAAATTGCAAAGAAATAAAATATAACGCCACATTTTCCCTGAAAAAAAAGTTTCACGTGAAAATAACAGAATTACTAGTAAAAGGAAATGGAATGATCAATAAAAGGTTGGCAAGAAATATGTAAAAGCAAAAATTTTTTTTGGAAATGGAAAAAGGAAATCTTAACAAGTTTTGTACTTCAACGGTTAATGCTCTATTATCTTTGCTACAAATAAGATGGATGATGTCAAAAATATTAAAAAACTAGCGCTCAACGCCGGACCGGACTCCGAGTCCCAAATTCGGAGTTTTTTCGCGATCTCCGAATTTTTTCCGGACCGGATTAATCCAGAAAAATCCGGGCGGATCCGGCCCGGCATGAATGCGAAATCCAAAATCCAGTTTCCGGGTTCGGAAAATGATTTTGCCGGCCACTAAAAAACCCGTGACGAAAAGACCATTGACGAATTGTAATTAGACAAAATAAATATAAAATGGGATTAAATGTCATTTTTAAAATAATAATAAACAAAATGACAAAAAATAATTTGGAATGATTATTTAAATTTTTTTTAAATTTTTGTAAAACTTCACGAGAAATTGTTAAATTTGTAATCTCAAAATATGCAAAAATGGGATTTCCAAAAAGTTTTTTTATAAAAATTTAAACATTCTACAATCTTTATGTTCGAATATAACACATATTTATTAAAATTAATTCATTACTTTTCTAATTTTATTTTTTTAGAGTATTCTGAAAAAAAATTAATTTTTAAATTTTTATTCAATGAATTGGATTCACTGTATGTTTTTTAATCAAAAATTTCGTTTAAATATTTAAATTTAAAGGTAATAAATGTTCGTCGGTTCCGGCTACAGGAAAATGTTTTTTCTGGCTCACTTCTTGTGGACATGTTTTTTGTGGAGAATGTGCTGGAATTGAAAAAGGATGTAAGTTTATTTTCTGAAAGGATTTTTTTGAAAACCTGGAGGAATTGACTTGATAAATTTCGGCAAAATAATTGTCTGATTTTTTATAATGGGTTGTCAGATAAATAATGAGCCCTTTGCGCATTTTTAGTCTTTTTTTATGTAAAGGTTTTCGAATTTTAGTTGTAATTATTTTAAACTTACTAGAGTCGATAGTTCCAGCTTTTTTCTACTAGCCAGAACCATTTAAAAAATAAATTTTTATTTTTTCAGTGCTTTAAAAATTTTTTAAAATTATGTCCTCAAAATCTGAAATTCGAGCTGT